CCCAGAGCAATTGCATAGTGACCAAGGTCGCAACTTTTTAAGTCGCACCATTCAGGAGTTATGCAAGATTGCTGGCATTAAGAAGTCCAGAACTACTCCATATCACGCCATGGGAAATGGAGGTGCTGAACGTTGGAACCAAACACTCCTGAAAATGCTTGGAACCCTTGAAAACCACCAGAAGTATGACTGGAAGGCATACATAGGTCCATTGGTTCAGGCATACAATGCCACCAAAAATGATGCAACCGGATATGCCCCTCACTTTCTGATGTTTGGTTGGCACCCACGGCTTCCTGTAGATGCTTATTTAGGCACAGATCCTTCAGAAGAGCACACAGGGAATCAGTCCTCTTATGCATCAAAACTCCATCGGAGATTGCAGATAGCATACCGCAGGGCTGCAGAAGAAGCTGGTAGGATGGCTGCCAAAAAAAAAGATAAGGTACTGATTCGGAAAGTTGGAGTGAAAGGGACTAACAAGTTGTCAGATCGTTGGGATGAGGAAATTTATATAGTCCTTTCTATACCCAATCCTGACATTCCCGTGTATAGAGTTCAGCAAGAAAGCAAGAAGGGCCCAATTAAGACTCTACACCGGAATATGTTACTTCCCTATCCTTTTACACAACTTGTGGAACAGGAGAGTATCAAACCTAGACCAGAAAGCAGCTCTCGCAAGAGAACTCCTAATAAGTTCAGGTCGACAGCCGATACTCTGTCCACTGAAATCGAGGATTCCACTGATTCCGATTCAGATAATACCGAAACATTATACCTACCTCCACCACTAAGATCTCAGAAACGTCCTAAAGAACAGTCCAGTAGGTCTAAACATACTGTGTCTGTGACCCCAGAACCTTCAAAGGCTCTGGAATCATTTCAGAGTGACCCCTCTGCAGAGACCATTACTCTATCTGACCATTTTTCAAGAATTGATGGTTTATCACCGCAATCAGAGACTGAGACTAATTTGGTAAGTGATCAGGAAGTTGGCTCCACCCCAGTACCTGACCCTGAACCTCCACCTCCAAGTCCTCGTCCTGTAAGGCGCAGAGTCCCACCGCAGAGATACGGTGAATGGGTTACCCCTATTGTAACAAATCCTAGCCAAGATTTGGAAGTATTTGTATGATTATCATATGTTATTATATAATGTAAAATTTTGAATTTACTTAATTAATTTCTTCACAGAAATTAAGGTCAGTAAACCTGATTTATCAATGTTTCTATTTTAGAAATAACTAGGAACTATGTCTGAACAAATCATATATGTTTTCATGTGTTTATACAGTTTTAAAAAAAAATTTAAAAAAAAAATTGTCTCCACATCTGCCATATGTGAACAAGTTGTTGTTTGTATGTGGAGAAGTTGATCTTGAAGTATTAGAGAGGATGACGGATTTATTATTGCATACTAGTACCAGTGTACTGTGATGCAACTTTGTCTATCTATTGTAAATATTTGTAAATAGATTTATTTGAATATAGAGCTGAATCATATATATGAACCTATTTCAATTAAAGAAATTAACTTATTAATTTCACATTACAATTGAAAATTCATAATAAATAAAGATATCAATAGATTTATATTTGTCATTTCATAAAGACAAGAAATAAACATAATTGTTGTGTATTATTATACACATAATTATGATTTATTGAAGATGATTATGTCCTGATGTTTTTATTTGAAACTAAAATATAACTGAGTTATGGAAATGTCAGGAGCCATTTCCTTAAAGGGAGGGAATGTGTAACCTGTGTATCGTTTTCTGTTTATCACTGGTAATTATTGTATCCTCCGTGTTATGTTGTATTTGGTTGGTATTCGCCTAAACTGTTGTCTCGTCGTTTGTTTGCCTAACTGTGGTAATGTTTTGTATAGTCTGTTTCGTATGAGAGGTCACTGTAAGTTGAAAGGTTGTATGAATGTGTTCACTAATATTTCACGTGCATGACCCTAAAATCCCCGCGAAACATTTTCTTGCTTAAGTAAAATATTTCCCTTCGCCAGTTCCACATTATACGAGTAACTGATAACTTACTTTACAGTATAGTTGTTGATAAAAGTAGTTACTTATTATAGTAAACTTGAACATCATTTATGGAAAGTTCTTGTATGCTGATCCTGGTAAGAATTTATATATTTCTAATGTCATATTTATTCTTTTCCATTGATGAATTGGATGAAATGTGTAATTTTATTATTGTGTAAATCAATTATTTGTAATTCCTTTGTATTTTGTTTGTAGGCTCGTTTTTGTATGTCCGACAATAAAATGATGAAATAGAAGCAAGTCTTCAATCATTTATCCCCGGTTACATATGCATATAGTAAAAACTTAAAAAATCTTCTTTTAAAGAACTCAAGAGCTATGGCTAAGATATTTAGCATCAAACATGTTCTAATAGGTGTCTACCAAGTTTGTTCAAATAAAAGCCCTGGGGTCAAAATTGGCCCCGCCCCAGGGGGTCATTGATTTTCCCTATATGCATATAGTAAAAACTTATAAAATCTTCTTTTAAAGAACCCAAAGAGCTAGAGCTTAGATATTTAGCATGAAACATCCTCTAATGGGTGTCTACCAAGTTTGTTCAAATAAAAGCCCTGGGGTCAAAATTGGCCCCGCCCCAGGGGGTCATTGATTTTCCCTATATGCATATAGTAAAAACTTATAAAATCTTCTTTTAAAGAACCCAAAGAGCTAGAGCTTAGATATTTAGCATGAAACATCCTCTAATGGGTGTCTACCAAGTTTGTTCAAATAAAAGCCCTGGGGTCAAAATTGGCCCCGCCCCAGGGGGTCATTGATTTTCCCTATATGCATATAGTAAAAACTTAAAAAATCTTCTTTTAAAGAACCAAAAGAGTTAGAGCTAAGATATTTAGCATGAAACATGTTCTAATAAGTGTCTAACAAGTTTGTTCAAATAAAAGCCCTGGGGTCAAAATTGGCCCAGCCCCCGGGGGACATTGATTTTCCATATATGTGTATAGCAAAAACTTAAAAATCTTCTTTGAAAAAACCCGAATAGCTAGAGTTTAGATATTAAGCATGAAACATTTTCTAGTAAGTACCTACAAAGATTGTTCAAATAAAAGCCCTTGGGTCAAAACTGGCCCTGCCCCAGGTGTGTCATTGTTTTTAACTATATGTGTAAAGAAAAAACTTGACCAGCTAGACCTTAGATGTTTAGCATGAAACATCTTCTAATGGGTGTCTACCAAGTTTGTTCAAATAAAAGCCCTGGGATTTAAACTGGCCCCACTCCGGGGGCCTATATACAGGTGAGCGACTTCAGGGCCATCATGGCCCTCTTGTTTTTTAACGCATTAACAATTATGTTACATCTTCTTTAAGGTTTTCAAACTATGCCATTTTTGTGTCGCCTCTACGAAATAGTGGCGACATATAGGGATCACTTCTCCGTCGTCTGTCTGTCTGTCTGTCCGTCCGTCCGTCACAAAATTTGTCCGGACTACTGCTCATAAACTACTGGTGCAATTTCATCCAAACTTTACAGGAATGATCAGTACCAAGTCTTGTTGTGCATATTGTCAGCATTTTCCGGTTCAATGATTTTTGTCAGAGTTATGGCCCTTTAATAATTTTTAATTTTAAAGTTTGTCCGGACTACTTCTCTTATACCACAAATGCAATTTCAATGAAACTTTACAGGATTGATCTGTAGCTCAAGTCCTTGCGCATATTACACGGGTTTTCCGGTTGAATGATTTTTGGCCGAGTTATGGCCCTTTGACAAAAAGGTGTTTTTTTCTTTGTGTTGCCAAATACACAAAAGCTTGTCCGGACTACTGCTCATAAACTACTGGTGCAATTTCATCCAAACTTTACAGGAATGATCAGTACCAAGTCTAGTTGTGCATATTGTCAGCTTTTTCCGATTCAATGATTTTTGTCAGAGTTATGGCCCTTTAATAATTTTTAATTTTAAAGTTTGTCCGGACTACTTCTCTTATACCACTAATGCAATTTCAATGAAACTTTACAGGATTGATCTGTAGCTCAAGTCCTTGCGCATATTGCACGGGTTTTCCGGTTGAATGATTTTTGGCCGAGTTATGGCCCTTTGATAAAAAGGTGTTTTTTTCTTTGTGTTGCCAGATAAGCAAAAGCTTGACCGGACTACTCCTCAAAAACTACTGCAATTTTATCCAAACTTTACAGGAATGATCAGTACCAAGTCTAGTTGTGCACTGTCCGTCTGTCACAAAATTTGTCCCAACATGAAATTGGCCATCATGAGGCGACACATGTGATTACTGATCGCTCTTGTCTATGTTTATTGTTTGTTTTAATACAGAACTTTTTTAAGTTACGTTGTGTATGAAACCATAAGCTTATAGAAACAATCACTTATCCATTATTTTAATTAACCAAACATAGCAATTATAAAGTTTTATGCACAAGGAAACAACAATTTGCCCCTTATGGGATTTGAACCTATGTTACCAACATTCCTTAGATTAACAGTTTGATGTTTTAACCACTCTTCCATGCAGTTACTTTTTTTAATCTGCCGGGAGCCAAAGAACACCAGCATCTGCATACCATATGCAAATTGAAAGTAGTTCTGATTCTTCCATCTACTATGTACTACTATGTCACATACACATTTATGGCTGCAATGCTGCAATCTTCACAATTTTTATTGTTGTTGATAATGTCAGCAAACTAACATATACATGTAATGGTTTATTTTGTATACAATGTAGATACTTTTGGGAAGTCACATTACATTTTAAACAGACACTTGGTATTAGGTAATTTAATACCTTAAGGCAAATAATAGCAATATTATATTTGTAAATTCATTGTCGTTATAATAATGATAGACCAGATCAAGGAACCATAAAGTTGAGCCTCTTGCTTACATCAGTACATGTATATGTCCTAATTATCTTTTTTGCATGATTTCACAAAACAACTATTATAAGCATGTAAATTTGCCTTCCATTTTATTCATTCCAGCAAATGCAGAAGCTAAACCTGCCACGGTTGAGCTCATACAGAAAATATCATTCAGTAGGACTGCCTATGACCATGGTGATGTGTTTCATGATCTTCCTGAAAGTGTAGCTTCCTATAGGCCAGCAGGACAGTCGTCCTTTAATGTGTATGGCGGAGATGTTACAATTGGAGGATTGGATATTCGCCAGCCTCAATCATCAAGTAAGGACGGTTACAAAAAGCCAAATTAGAAAATAGAGACACCAATAACAGAAAATTGTTGTAAAGGAAAAATTGGCTTTTGTTCAGGAAATAATTTCAAAAAAAGTTCTAGGTTCCAAGTAGAGTTGGGTACCGCCAGAAAGAAAATACCACGGTATACCACGGTTTTTTCCCATAAACCGCGGTATACCACGGATTTTCATTGTATGCTATAGGTTAATTTTTATCCCTAAAATTATAAGTATCAAGGTAGGCTGGTATAGAATTTCAAATATTAAATTTAAGCAGATCTATAAAATACAGATTAATCAAAGCATCATTTAACTTTTTTCAATCCGGTACTTTCGCATGTTGACAATCATAAATGAATTGGGTCATGGATCAGTTCTTGTTGTTGTTTTTTTATCCCCCGCCGATGGAATCGTCGTGCGTCGTCAGCAATTTCTTTAAACAACATCTCCTCAGAAACAAATGACTGCACAGCAACCAAACTTTACAGGAATGATCCTAGGGTGGTCCCTGCCAAAGTTGATCAAATGGTTCCGGTCTGTTGCATAAGTAGGTCACAGGGCCAGAAAAGGAGTTTCAAAAATGCAAAATTAAAAAATCTTGTCTGAAAGTACAAGGCCTAGAGCTTTGATATTTGGTATATGATATAACCTATAGGTTATCTACCAAAATTGTTCAAATTTTAGCCCTGGGGTCAAAATTGGCCCCACTCCAGGGGGTCATAGATTTTCCTTATATGTATATAGTGAAAACTTAAAAATTCTTCTTGTTTGAAGGTACAAGGCTTCAAGTTCAAAGAATATTACAGTTTATGCCATGATTAATATATAAAAAGCCTTATGTCTTCAGTTGTTGTGTTAATAATAACCAGTACTCGGCGGGGGATATAAATTCAACGAATTTGCTTGTATATTACATATTGGTCTCTTTCAACATTTAACAACTGTTATATAAATTGCATAGTTAAAATGGAAAAATGAAATGTTTTTGTTGCTTATTGATTAATAAAATAATAGGTCAAATGCATGTTAGCCGATGACAAATATTTATTTGTCGGTTAATTTTATAACAGAGTCCCAACTGCTATTGTAATTTTTTTATTGCACGGGCTAAGTATTTAATTAATCTGTGTCAAAAACCAAAACAAACATGTACCCCAAAAGCAAATTAAAATATCACATAGAAACAGCTGACCATGTTACTGCTTAATTAATATTCATTAGTTGAACGAACATAACTTTCAATCCAGTTTCTACGCCGTTCTATAATTAGTTAATTGCCATGCGCATGCAGTAAGTGCGTAACGTAAGGAAAACCCCTAGCCTGATTGGTCGCTATTTATATAGTAACACCCTAATTTTATGCAAGGAATGCCCTCATGAATTATCAATCTTTACGATTAGTTTTCGTATCAAAAAGCGATATTTGGACAAGTAAATGTAAGTCGACAATTCTTGCTTCTTCAACTGAGATCATTCAAGTCGACAATTCTGACTTAAATGCGGTAATCGATAAAGCATTCAATTTTCGCTAAGAACTATCGAAGAATGATAATAGTCAGTGAAAGTTGTTTGCAAAAAGGTTAACTCAAAGAAACATTAACATATACAACAGAAAAAGTTTTTTAATTTAGTACATTTTAGGGATCTGTAATTGCTTTAAATTAGAGCTAAAAGTACGGGTTTTCCAGGTCTGTACCGCGGTACGTACCGCAGATGTCATGGACTGTGGTTTGCCGGTATACCGGTTAAACCGCGCACCTCTAGTTCCAAGGGGAGATAATTTTTAGCTCGACTTTTTTTTTTTTTTTGAAAAAAAAAGGACAGGTATTGTTATAACAACTATTATAAGCATGTAAATTTGCCTTCCATTTTATTCATTCCAGCAAATGCAGAAGCTAAACCTGCCACGGTTGAGCTCATACAGAAAATATCATTCAGTAGGACTGCCTATGACCATGGTGATGTGTTTCATGATCTTCCTGAAAGTGTAGCTTCCTATAGGCCAGCAGGACAGTCGTCCTTTAATGTGTATGGCGGAGATGTTACAAATTGGAGGATTGGATATTCGCCAGCCTTCAATCATCAAGTAAGGACGGTTACAAAAAGCCAATTAGAAAATAGAGACACCAATAACAGAAAAATTTGTTGTAAAGGAAAATTGGCTTTTGTTCAGGAAATAATTTCAAAAAAAGTTCTAGGTTCCAAGTAGAGTTGGGTACCGCCAGAAAGAAAATACCACGGTTTTTTCCCATAAACCGCGGTATACCACGGATTTTCATTGTATGCTATAGGTTTAATTTTTAATCCCTAAAATTATAAGTATCAAGGTAGGCTGGTATAGAAATTTCAATATTAAATTTTAAGCAGATCTATAAAATACAGATTAATCAAAGCATCATTTAACTTTTTTCAAATCCGGTACTTTCGCATGTTGACAATCATAAATGAATTGGGTCATGGATCAGTTCTTGTTGTTGTTTTTTTATCCCCCGCCGATGGAATCGTCGTGCGTCGTCAGCAATTTCTTTAAACAACATCTCCTCAGAAACAAATGACTGCACAGCAACCAAACTTTACAGGAATGATCCTAGGGTGGTCCCTGCCAAAGTTGATCAAATGGTTCCGGTCTGTTGCATAAGTAGGTCACAGGGCCAGAAAAGGAGTTTCAAAAATGCAAAAAATTAAAAAAATCTTGTCCTGAAAGTACAAGGCCTAGAGCTTTGATATTTGGTATATGATATAACCTATAGGTTATCTACCAAATTGTTCAAATTTTAGCCCTGGGGTCAAAATTGGCCCCACTCCAGGGGGTCATAGATTTTCCTTATATGTATAATAGTGAAAACTTAAAAAATTCTTCTTGTTTGAAGGTACAAGGCTTCAAGTTCAAAGAATATTACAAGTTTATGCATGATTAATATATAAAAAGCCTTATGTCTTCAGTTGTTGTGTTAATAATAACCAGTACTCGGCGGGGATATAAATTCAACGAATTTGCTTGTTTATTACATATTGGTCTCTTTTCAACATTTAACAACTGTTATATAAATTGCATAGTTAAAATGGAAAAATGAAATGTTTTTGTTGCTTATTGATTAATAAAATAATAGGTCAAATGCATGTTAGCCGATGACAAATATTATTTGTCGGTTAATTTTATAACAGAGTCCCAACTGCTATTGTAAATTTTTTTATTGCACGGGCTAAGTATTTAATTAATCTGTGGTCAAAAACCAAAACAAACATGTACCCCAAAAGCAAATTAAAAATATCACATAGAAACAGCTGACCATGTTACTGCTTAATTAATATTCATTAGTTGAACGAACATAACTTTTAATCCAGTTTCTACGCCGTTCTATAATTAGTTAATTGCCATGCGCATGCAGTAAGTGCGTAACGTAAGGAAAACCCCTAGCCTGATTGGTCGCTATTTATATAGTAACACCCTAATTTTATGCAAGGAATGCCCTCATGAATTAGGCCACTCTTAAAAAATTATCTGTTTGCTATTGCCGGCCGACCCAGCAAAAATGCCCCGACTCAAAAGTTTTTTTCAGCTTAAAAAAATCAGATTTATTTTTATTTCCGCCAAATCAGCAAGGGCATTCCATCTAAAAAATTCCCTCGAAAACAAAAATAAAATTGGAGGAAAATCACACATTTAATATGTAAAGTAACGAGTGATCATTCATGAGGGCATTCTGTGTGTTACTATTTAAAGTATTTACATAAATAGCAACCAACCAGGGAAGGATATTTTCCTTACGTCACGCAGTACTTCATGCGCGCGGCAATTAAGTCGAATTAACTAATAATAGAAAGTATCAAATTAAGGTGTGGAAACGGGATTAAAAATAATGTTTGTTCAGTTAATGAATATTTGTGAAGCATTTATATGGTCACTAGTTTACCAATGTGGGGTAATTTTAATGTGCTTTGGAGTACATGTTTGTTTGTTTATGACTGCCGACACAGATTAAATACTTTAGCCCATGCAATAAAACATTTCTGGTAGCAGCGGGGATTCTGTCATAAAATTTACCGAAAAAAATAATTATTTGGAAGCTGTGGTCATTTTATATGCATTATTGTTTTGAATAGCAGACACAATTATTGCAAAAATATCTTCAAGATCAAAAAAATGTAAATAAAATATCACAATCAAAATCACAGATTTACATACGTCTAATTAAACTCCATGTCAAAATGCCACTTACGATTAATAATTATGTCAATAATTGACACGATAAATATCCAACATTTTTTTACCTTGAGCAATAATTAAACATGTGTAATCATTCCTTGACAAAAAGAAATGAACAGTTTTTTTTCTGATATATAAAAAGAGGTGGAAAGTCAATTGAGTGTCGGCATTTCTTTGATGATTCGGCAACAACTACAGGTGTGTAAACATCAAGATTCAACAGATTCTTCAAGAAGAGCCCGACCAGTCATTTGTCAGAGGTCATTTCGTGTGTAAATTTTGTATTTATATTTAACAATGGAAACATTATATTCCTTTTATCTATGGATGCTACTTTTTGTGCGAGTGTTTTTGTGTCTTTTAGCGCTATGGAATTTCAACAATCTGCAATAATTTTCGGGAACTAACAATGAAATATTTTAACGATCCGCCATTCAGAAATTATAGGAGACAAATCTTGCGTGTGTTATTTTTTACAGACCTGTAATAAATTGAGTAATGATCATGCATCCATGAGAACGAAATGTCCTGGTGATCCACTATAATTTTTCCAGTTCGTACGGGAATTTAAGGCAGGATTAGTTTATCACATCGGTAATTTGACCATCCTTGAATTTATGTCTACATAGTCATTTTTTTTATTTCATGTTATGATTACTAGTGAACATGTTTTTTATTGTTTTTGACTGTGTTTAACATGTTAGTTTTGCCGATGATGATAGTGTAGCCCAAATTTCCACAATCTGTTACAACGTACTAAGCGTATTAACTTATGTTCAGTAAAAATTATATATAAAAAAAAAAAAAGCCTACCTACCGACCCACTCCTTATAACTCTGGGTCGGCAATAGCAAACATATATATTATTAAGGATGGCCTTATCAATCTTTACGATTAGTTTTCGTATCAAAAAGCGATATTTGGACAAGTAAATGTAAGTCGACAATTCTTGCTTCTTCAACTGAGATCATTCAAGTCGACAATTCTGACTTAAATGCGGTAATCGATAAAGCATTCAATTTTCGCTAAGAACTATCGAAGAATGATAATAGTCAGTGAAAGTTGTTTGCAAAAAGGTTAACTCAAAGAAACATTAACATATACAACAGAAAAAGTTTTTTAATTTAGTACATTTTAGGGATCTGTAATTGCTTTAAATTAGAGCTAAAAGTATGGGTTTTCCAGGTCTGTACCGCGGTACGTACCGCAGATGTCATGGACTGTGGTTTGCCGGTATACCGGTTAAACCGCGCACCTCTAGTTCCAAGGGGAGATAATTTTTAGCTCGACTTTTTTTTTTTTTTTGAAAAAAAAAGGACAGGTATTGTTATAGTCGCGTTGCCGTCCGCAAACTTGTACCTGGATCATAACTTTTTAGCTCACCTGAGCTATTAGGATCGGTGAATGTCCGTCGTACGTCTACAATTGCTTGTGAACACACTAGTGGTCACACTTATGACTCAATCATCATCAAACTTTGTCAGGATGCTTGTTTAGTCAATTGCTCGGATGAGTTCATACTGGGTCATTTCGGATGGAAAACTAGGTCAAAGGAGCTGAAAATAGAAAAACCTTGTGAACACTAGTGGTCACATTTTTGACCCAATCATCATCAACCTTTGTCAGAATGCTTGTTTAGATTATTGCTTGGATGAGTTCGAACATGGGTCATCTCCGATGAAAATCTAGGTCACAGGAGCTATAAATAGAAAACCTTGTGAACACTCTAGTGGTCACATTTTTGAACCAATCATCATCAAACTTGGTCAGAATGCTTGTCTAGTCAATGGCTTGGATGAGTTCGAACATGGGTCATCTCTGATGAAAAACTAGGTCACAGGAGCTAAAAATAGAAAAACCTCTTGAACACTATAGTGGTCACATTTTTGACCCAATCATTATCAAACTTTGTCAGTGTGCTTGTCTAGTTAATTGCTCGGATGAGTTCGAACATGGGTCATCTTGGATGAAAAACTAGGTCACAGGAGCTAAAAATAGAAAAATCTTGTTAACACTCTGGCGGTCTCATTTTTGACGCAAGTGTCATCAAACTTGATCAGGATGCTTGTCTAGGTACTTGCTCGGATGAGTTCAAACATGGGTCATCTCGGATGAAAAACTAGGTCACAGGAGCTAAAAATAGAAAAATCTTGTTAACACTTTAGTGGTTACAATTTTGACTCGATTGTCATCAAACTTGGTCAGGATGCTTGTCTAGGTAATTGCTCGGATGAGTTCGAAATCGCATGTGAAACTAGGTCAACGGAGCTAAAAATAGAAAAATCTTGTTAACACTCTAGTTGCTACTGTTTTGATCCAAGTATCCTGGAAATTGGTCTGAAAGATTTGTTTTGATGATTTCTAGGTCAAGTTTGAATATGGGTCACCTGGGTAAAAACTAGGTCACACTGCCATACAAATATGGATAATCCTTGTTAACACTGTAGTGGTCACATTTTTAGCTCGACTATACGAAGTATATGGAGAGCTGTCCTACTCGCCCCGGCGTCGGCGTCCGCGTCCAGATTTTAGATTAAAGTTTTGGTGCAGTAAAATATTTTTCACTATAACTTTGTCATTTCTTAAGGTATCAACTTCAAACTTCAAATATATCTTCCTTATCATCAACCACATCATATGTGACAAGGTTCATAACTCTAGCACCAATATTTTCAGATTTATCTCCCCTTGAACTTAGAATTTTCCTTAAAAAATACTATTTTTTACTGTTACTTCCTTATTTCTTTAGGGATCAACCTCATACTTCAAATATATGTACCTTATCATCATCCCCATCTTATGTGACAAGGTTCATAACTCTAGCACCAATAGTTTCAGATTTATCTCCCCTTGAACTTAGAATTTTCCTCAAAAAGTACTATTTCTTACTGTTTCTTCTTTATTTCTTAAGGGATCAACCTCATACTTCAAATGTATTTACGTTATCATCATCCCCATCTTATGTGACAAGGTTCATAACTCTAGCACCAATATTTTCAGATTTATCTCCCTTTGAACTTAGAATTTTCCATAAAAAATATTTTTTTTTACTGTTATTTATTTATTTCTAAAGGGATCAACTTCATACTTCAAATATGTTTACGTTATCATCATCCACATCTTATGTGACAAGGTTCATAACTCTAGCACCAATATTACAAGAATTATCTCCCCATAAACTTAGATTTTTTTACTAGAAAAATGTTATTTTTTATTATAACTTTTTTATTTTTAAAGGTATCTACCTCAAATTCCAAATACTTATTCCTTATCAACAATTACATTTTATGTGACATTGTTCATAACTCTTGATGCAACATTTACAGATTTATCTCTCTTTGAACTTAGGATTTTCTTTAAGAAATATAATAGCTTCTTTTCTTTTTTTAAGGTATCTGCTTCAAACTTCAAATATATGTTTCTTATCATTACACAAATGTTGTGTGACAAGGTCCATAACTCTAGCATGACTATTTCTAGCATTATTCCCCTTGATCTTGGAATTTATGTTAACAAATATTATTTTTTTACTATAACTTAATACATAATTATACATAATTTTTTCATAGTTTTGTCCTCCTTACTGCGTCCAGTATTTCATTAGTCGAGCTTCGCTGTCTCCTGTGACAGCTCTTGTTGACTCACCTGTCATAAACCTTGGTCAGAATGCTTGTTTAGGTAATTGTTCGGATGAGTTTGATGGGTCAGGTGAGCGATCTAGGGCCATAATGGCCCTCTTGTTTATTTCTTGGTGTATTGTCTTCATACTTGGCCACAACAACCTTTGGGACAAGACCTTTCAGTAGACCACACTAACCTTGACCTTCATCAATAAATGACCTTGACCTTCAAGGTTAAAAGTCCCAATTTTTGCTTGTTCATGCTGTTATTGGCTGTAACTTTGTTATTTTTGAATGGATTGTCTTCAAACTTGAACATAATAATCTTCAAGGATATCCCTTAAAAATAACCTGACAGACCTTGACCTTCACTCATAAATGACATTGACTTTGAAGGTCAAATTATTGAAATTTTCATGTTTTTGGCTATTATTAGCTGTATCTTTATTTTTGAATGGATTGTCTTCAAACTTGAACATAATAATCTTCTAGGATAACCCTTAAAAATAACCCGACAGACCTTGACCTTCACTCATTAATGACCTTGACTTTGTTTTGGCTGTAACTGGCTGTTACTTTGCTTTTATTGAAGGGATCAACTTCATATTATAACAGAACATACTTAAAGACAAGACCTTGTTGTTTATCGTGACTTCACTACGCGTTTCCACCACATGACTACCACGTGACTTCCATGGGCACCACCATGTGACACCACCACATGACTCCAAAAGTGCCTCCACCACGTGACTTCACCACGTTACTCCACCACGTGACTTCCACGTGGCACCACCACGTGACTTCACCACGTGACACCACCACGTGACTTCGAATTGCGTGTCTCTATTTATATATATATAAATTAGTAAACTAATGTGACAATACAGAATGATTAATTTTATAAAAAGGAAATGTAATATTTTGTTCAAACATTTCTTTGTTTGCTTTTAGAGAAAGTAAAAGAAAGTAAAACCGCCTCCGTGGTCGAGGGGTTAGAGTCGATGACTTCTAATCCAATTACCTCTCTGGCGTGGGTTCGATCCCCGGGAGATGCTTTGGTAGTTTAGCGCGGAGGAAGTTAGTCTAGTACTGGTGTAACTCTCCAGGAACGATGGTTAGGAACTACCCGCCTATATGACTAAAATACTGTTGGGAAAAGGCGTAAAATGAAACAAACAAACAAAAGAGAAAGTAAAAAGTCGAGCGTTGCCCCCGCCCGGCGGTGGCTCTTGTTTAATTTTTTTTTTAGATTCAACAGTTTCTGACTCTAACTTTTAAATGCAATTAATTAAGAAGAAAAGTTCTTTAATTCATAATAATTATCCAAATTCTATCAATTTACATCAGTTTTAATGTTGAATATTACTATCATAAATGTAATGGTGATAACAAGAATGGACAGGCAAACGTATATGGGATACTGTTAATCAAACAAAACATTTAAGGGAAATTGTAAATCAAACAAAACATATAGGGGATATTGTAAATCAAACAGGACATATAGGGAATATTGTGAATCAAACAAAACATACAGGGAATATTGTAAATAAGACACAAATATATGTTTAAGGTAACTAAATTATCAATTACCTTGCTTTTTATCATCTGCTGCATTCATATCAGGGTCTTTCACAGCTTTAATTTACCGTATAATCAATGGGCTATTTTTAGCGATGTGGGTTTCCAAGTGTGAATTCCAAATGTCGCTATGGCCACGCTTCAGCGCTTGTGCTAATTTCGTCAGATTACACAAATAAATCTGCCACCAGGCAGTATTATCGAGTGGAGAAATATACATGTCAGACATTTCATAGAGATTTTGGGGCGACTAAAATTTCGCTTTTCAGATCATATAGGGCGAAGTGAAAATATTTACTGCGAACTTTTCGCCTGACTTCGCCCTGTATTGATAATTGCAATACAATTTTTCCTTTCAAATAGGTTCCAGTAATGTTGCATCAGATAGCCTTGATGGGTCCAGCAGTAGAGCTACAAGCTTTGGTTCTTTCAACATTCATGGAGGAAAAGTTGCAATATCAAATATGGCAATTGGACCCGCTACACAAGTCAGTGGCTTTCCAAGTTATAATCAATCGCCTACTGTAAGAGGTATGTATGTAATAACAATATTTTGCTAGTTCACATAATTGAAAAAAGATTGTTTGCTTTTTACTTTCAGAATATTAAAACTGTTCTACATCTGAGCAAGTCTATTAAAAGCACTTTCTTCCTGCACTTACAAGTATAAGTAGTTACTTTCTTCACTCATGATTCAAGGAACGTTCTCTGAGTTCAAGTGGTTAAGGCCACCCACTGCTAAAGGCATCAAGCAGAATTGCAAGGGTTTACCTTGTGTCTATTCTCTCAAAAAAACTTAAATGTTAGCGTTGATGGTGGAGATGTGATTGAAAAAACTTTTTAAAACCTTCATATTCAGCTTGAATAAGCAAGTCAGTAAGTTATTATTTGTATAATGTGCTGTGACATTGTTTGAAATAACCTATGTTTAACTTATTCTAGGAGAAATGTCGAGCATTGTGCCAGACTTCGGTAAACCACAACCAGGAAGTTTTCTATCCTCCGGTCAGCCGTTTAAGAAAGAAAATGACGATACGCTTAGTCAAAGCATGGTAGCTGCATTAGGTGAACAAATGAAATCAGTAGGAGCTCTCATATCTGCCGGTAACATCATCGGAACTGTCTTCAGGGTCGGCACCAAGTATGTGATGACGGCATCACATGTCGTGTCCATGGTGATAGGTAAAGTATTAAGAATGTGAACTTTTCTATCAACAAATTTAAGAAAAAATTTTTGAAGATGGTCATTCATTTGAAATTTATACATCCTAAGTAGATATAAATAAATGCTTTCAGTCCATAGTTATACTTGATTTGAATGACCATATCTCCCAAATTCAGATAAAATTTCTCAGGAATAATGCTTATGAGGATGTCAAGAAAAATTGTATTTTGCACAAGTCAGTAACAAGAGCTAAAAATACATTTTCACAATGAAATTTAATAAATCTTCTTCTTAGAAACTATCATGCCTACATGATATTCTATTATTCATGAGAGTCAGTTTTTTTTCTTCTTAAGGTTTCAGTTGATTAATTACATTTACATTTTGTATGCATTAAATTACTTAATTGTTAAATATGCATGTGAATGTAAAGTGGATAGTGAGAGTATTTATATACAAAAATTTGATAATTTGACAAAACATTGGCTTATTTCAAAATCAATTTACGCAACTGCAATTTTAAGACTTAAGCAATTGTACTTAGATGAATGACTTACAATGATAATGACCCTTTGGTCTTGTGAAAAATATTTAAAATAAAACCTGTTTTGGTCACAAAGAAAGGTTTTAGACAAAGAAGTTTGTTGATGAAGCAATGGAAAAGCAAAGATGAATGTAAAAATAAACACAGAATATTTGAAGGATATATATTTTTTTAAATCTTCAACATTTTAAAGGGACTGTACTGAGTTTGTTTTTTTTTTATTTGAGAGAACTGGAAATATATTTTTGAGAATAATGTTCTATTTGATGTAAGGCTTGACAAATAACTTGTGTGCAAAATTTCAGATCATTTTCTCGCTCCATTTTTTCTAATTTGAAAAATGACCAAAAATTGTAAAGTGTTAAATTGAAAAGTGTACTCAAATCCGGTTAAAAATGAATAAAAGTATGATTTTCAATTTATCTCTAAGGATATTTCTTAGTTGATTTTTGCATGTCTTTCTGTTTCACATATCCCAGTTGATCAAAATATCAAGATGTCGGCTTTTGGACCTCAGTGGAGGTCCTTTATTTCAATATAATTTGTTTGTTTCAGACCCTCATAACACAGGAAATCGTGACTTCAGTCGGCTTGAAAGTGATGACACTTTTATAAACTTCAATGAATCAGTAATATCACCATGTGTTACCGTTTACAGAGTGAGCAAAGAATTTATCGAAAATAAAGAGTTAGATGTAGCAGTTCTTAAAATCGCAGGAGATACTCTAAGTGGTTTACCAATGAAAATGAACCTATGTGTGAATGATATAAGTGAAATGCGCGTCACAAATGTGTCGCTAGTTGGCTATGGTCATCCTTCAGGTGTGATGAAGAAACATTTAGATCCAAAATGTAAGATCATAGCTCCGGATTCAGACAGATTGCGGGCTGCACACGCTTTTTCTCAACAAAATTTTGATTTGTGTAGGGCAGTTATACGAGAAAATGGAGGAAACCCTGATATTGTAAACAAAGGTTACCTTGGCTATAATCTACCATCCAAATTGTTGTTTGACTGTTTCATGGAACACGGGGCTTCAGGAGGTCCAGCATTAACAAATAACAATGAAAGGTCGGTCCAAGTGGTTGGACTTTTGACACATGGCCTTCCCGAGTTTTACTTCTCTCTTCCAGACCTAATAAAATCAAACTTTCCAAATTGTCACCGTCTTGAAGCAGGAACAAAAATGAAAGACATCTTTGAATGGATGAGGGGCACACAAAATGAATATATTGTTAAAGATATTTTTAATCTTTAAATCCATTTACACCTTAAGAAAATAACCTTTGTTACCCTTCCTACATGTACCTACTCAAAAATATCACTGCTACCCAAACATTTATTGCTAAGCAAAAAAAGCTATGGTTGTAAATAAGTAACAGATGTTTAAGCATTCACAATATGGTGATGTTTCAAAGTCAATATAATTCAGAAATGAATAACAAAAAAACTGATATATGGTAAAATAAATTTTGCATGGTTTCCGGGAGAGGAAACAAAGATAATTTAAAGGTTGGCCTAAAAATGATTTTTTGAGGTGGTAAATAGAACAACATGTAGTTCAATTAAATTTAAAGTAAATCAGAACACTCAAATATTACAAAAGTTTGTGTAGTTATATTATCCTATAGAATGAATTTATATAAAAATAAAAATTAACATGTTTTTTCCAGATATCTGGTTAAATTGTTTTGTTTTAAATTGTGTTTTGATTGTGAATTTGGAGTGTAATGTTCACTTCTGCATATAAATGAGAGATTAAATGTAGTTTTACTTTATATTATGTGATTAATGAATTATATGACCAGATTATAATACATGTATGTCACCACAGACACTATCACCTTTATGTAACCTTTACCAGCGATTACCGACACTTGTATTCCTGCCACTCCCCCTCCCTTGCCCCTGTCTAAGGGAAGGAGATGGAAATGAATAAAGTACCAAAATATCTATGGTTATGTTCCAACTTGTAGTATATATCATGAGTTATAAAGATTTTTTGACAGGTTATATGGCCCTATATAATAATAAACGGTTGTTTGGAAATATAACTTGAGCCGCTGGACGAGGGTTATATCGCAAATATATGTACGGTCATATAACCTGTCAGGAATATATGTACAGAATTTATTGTAAAGCAAACTTCCTCTAGTACGTTACTAAAGTGCAGTATTATAAATGGTTTTGAATTGGGATTTTACCAGTTGACTTCTTGCTTGAAGGGGCCTTTGCTTATAGTTTGAAAAAAAGAGTCAAAATTCCTTCTATTGCATGTGATAGGGAAGAGACAGATCTAGTATTTTAGTTGCTTGTATCACTTCTTTTGCATATGTATAATTATTTCTTCATGTTGGAACCACTTTTTTGCTATTTACAACACCTTACTCAATTACTTACATTTTCTATTTTAAAAATTTGATATTTTATGATGCATGTGTGTTGCTATGTTTTCTCTTAATATTTGTTATGTAAGTTAATATCATATGAATTATATATGAGTTTGTGGATAACAATAAAAAAAAATCTCTCGTGAAAATACTGTTACCCTAGGCTAACATATTTTCATGAGATGATCTTTTTACTTTTATTCATTAACCCATGGGTTATTTTATTACCCTGAACAAATCCTCTGAGAAATTGCAACTACACAGTTGAACCAAGAGTAACAATAACTCAACTATATCCTTACCTTACATGTTGATGTAAAACAACAAAAAACAAACATGTGACCAGATTTTTATACTGTTAAAAAGTACTGTTACCCTGTAAAAGTAAAATTTTTTTAAGTCTCATGGTACACTTGCTGAAAGAGTAAGAATAACTTGAGGGGTAATGATATTTATAGTGGCACATGCTATAGACATGGAGCTAAATATTCATCTGTGCTATAGAGTAGAGGCAACATATAGGGATCACTTCTTAGATGTCAGTCCATCTGTCACAAAACATGTCTGGACTACTTCTCAGAAGCTACTGGTGTAATTTAATCTTAACTTCGGTGCCAAGTCTAGTTGTGCATATCTTCGGCATTTTCTGTTTCAATGGTTATTTTCATCAGAGTTATGGCTCTTTAATATGTTTTTGTATTTACAAAATGGCCAGCCTTTATCACTTATACAAGTAATGCAATTTGAGAGTAACTTTGGAGGAATTGATCACTATCTTAAGTACTTGCACATATTTTTCAGTTAAATGATTTGTGGCTGAGTTATGGGCTATGGCCTGTTCATGAATTTCGTGTCTCCTGCTACATGTACATAGCTGCAACACACTAAAATGAGGTGACACACGAAATCACTGATAGCTCTTGCGTTTATTTACTCAGGGTTTTTCAGTACAATATATGCATGTTTGTACAAATGTCAGAAAGCTTTTTTGAATTTTAAGCCCCTCATGGTTAAGGCATGCATGCTAAGAAAATGTATATTTTGGAATAATATTGAGTGATAATGTATATACTACTGATCTTGCAACTACTTTTAACACGCCGCCATATAGCCTGTAAAGACTATATAAAACTAACGGTATTTAAAAGTATGTGAGTTAAAATTTATCTAAGTCAAGGCAACTAACTCATGATAAAAATTTTTGTATGAAAAAGATGTTCCGTACAAGACCACATTCTAGAAAACTAGGGTGAAAATAAGATGCTATGTTATGTTATAGATAGAAGTAGTGAAAAAGTGTGAATTACTGATTTTTCAATGTTATATGTTGATAAAGAGAGCTGTATTCAATTGAGTTTCTCGTTGATACTTTTAACGTTTTTTGTTTTAGATTAAGAAAAGAACTGGTACTTTGTACTTATATTTTTAAGTATTGCTATGAACTGATGTTTATATATTCAAAGATTATAATTGTATTCATACATATTTTAAATAAATAAAATAAAAAACAACCTTTGTGGTTTCTATATTTATGTAAAGAATGTCCGTATCCACCGAATCCATCTGCGGACCTAAGGTGAAAATACTCTTTAAAGTGGATTGGTCTATAATGGACACAATTTCATGAAAATGAAATGTTTCAAATATCCACATGATTCAATATGACATCTACATGTATTATGATGTTTTACTAATATTTTGTTCTAGAACTTTTCAACATCCGCACTATATATCATAATACTTCCATGGTTTGTTGTAATATATGATAACATAATATTATCAAAATAAAAAATATGTGAGAGTGCAAACTTTCTATCATAGATCAATTCACTTTAAATGTCCTTTTTAGCTCGACTATTCGATAAGAATAAGTAGAGCTATTGCAGTCACCTGAGCGTCCGCGTCGGCGTATACTATAACCACTTATGTTAAAGTTTTTGTAATAGTTCAAATATTTTCAAAGTCCATTGACATATGGCTTTGAAACTTTGCACACTTGTTCACAATCATGACCCCAACCTGTAGACAGGAGGAGGTAACTCTATCAAGCATTTTGACAGAATTATGCCCCTTTTTCGACTTAGAATTTATGTTAAAGTTTTTGTAATAGTTCAAATATTTTCAAAGTCCATTGACATATGGCTTTGAAACTTTGCACACTTGTTCACCATCATGACCCCAACCTGTAGACAGGAGGAGGTAACTCTATCAAGCATTTTGACAGAATTATGCCCCTTTTTCGACTTAGAATTTATGTTAAAGTTTTTGTAATACCTCAAATATTTTCAAAGTTCATTGACATATGGCTTTGAAACTTTGCACACTTGTTCACCATCATTACCCCAACCTGTAAACAGGAGGAGGTAACTGTATCAAGCATTTTTTTTACTATCAAACACTAAGAATAGTCGAGCGTTGCTGTCCTACCGACAGCTCTTGTTTGATATTGAAATGTATAAACCACTGATTAAAAGAGTCATCTGAAGTTGGCGGCTTAGTGGCAACTTAAACCTTATGGCCCAGTAGCACAAAGTTGACAGGGACTAGTGTACATCCACTTGCTTCCTTAACCCTTTCCCTCATGAGCATATTGTGAAAAATGGCCGTTTTCATTGAAAAGCCTACTGTTACAAGTTCAAACTGCTATGAAACTTGGCACAAATGTTGACTGGACCAGTGCCTTTGTAACGACATGCTCAGTTTTAAATTACCTGTTACCATGGCAACGAGGGGACATCTCAAAATTGCCAAAAATCACTATTTTGCCTTGATTTTTCCATCACAATTTATTTCAAAGTGCTGCAACCTCTCAAGGGATTGAGATAGAGTCAAAGGCTTTTCAGCGTTGGTTACACAAGTCCAAAATTTTCTTGGCGATGAGGAGGACTGCCACCCCCCTTCAAACCCCCAAACAGAAGGAGGCACATCCCCCTTCTGGCAACCTCCTGATGTATCTTTTGGATGGGGGCGGCGCCGAAAAAGTGCTCGCTTTTTAGCAACATTTAGCAACGAAAACATGTGTTTGGGGCCAAAATAGGACATTTTTCACTATTTGAAGCCTAACAGAGGCGGGGGGGTCGAAAGTGCATTGTTTCGCGTATATACGAGGTAAAGGGTTAACGCTATGGGTTCGAACCAGAGACTAAGAAAGAGACTGAAAGTGAGGAAGCATTCCAGCTAGCTTACAGACCATTGGTGTTTATATTAAGTTTATATCCAGCAACAGAGCTGGAAAGTCGCGATATGTATTAGTGTGACTTTTAATGTCTTTAAAGTAATAAGTCCTAATTAGAAATTTGAGATTAATTTGTATTATAATAAAATTCATATTTTGATTTATATTAAAAATCTTATTAGAATTGACAAAGTTCAAATAGGTTTTTATTAACACTTTGGTCCTGAGTAATCTTTATTTATTCTCCTAATTTCGACTAGAAAATTCCTAATCAGTTATAACTGGTAATAACAATGTTGAAAAATAATGGGTTTTTTATCTCTCTTACTTAGAAGTATGGTAGTATTAATTAGGATTTTATAACTCTTAATCAAAAGTAATAAAAATCCTAATTAGTCTTTTAAACTCATTACGCTTTTTGAAAATGAAATATAAAATTTTTAGCACCAGGTAGTTCCGTTTCTTAGAGATATTCGACCGTGCGACCACATACACGCATCGAGGACATTTTGGAAGTAAAGTGACCGTGCGAAAACATACACGCATCACAGAATTCCCCTTCTCATATGAGAAAGGGACAAAACGCTGCCCGACCCTTTTTTAAAGGGCAGCTCTAAATATACAAATATACGCCATTTCCTTATTGCTATTGATATGGTGGCTAATTTTTCCAGATTTTTTTTTTTTGATGCGTTTATTTAAGGTCGCCGCCGTACACTCAAGTCGGGTCATCCTAGAGCGTCCCGCCGAGATTTTTCGTCGATTTTTTTCCAGCTTTATTGGTGGAGGAAGACCCCAGGTGCCCCTCCGGGCATTATTTCAGGCACGAGCCTGGGTAGAACCACCGACCTTCCGTAAGCCAGCTGGATGGCTTCCTCACATGAAAGATTTCGACCCGAGTGAGGATCGAACCTACAGTGGTGAGGGACGTGTGATCTCAAGTCAACGACTTTAACCACTCGGCCACGGAGGCCCCCTTTTTCCAGATATGTTTTAAATTGGTTTATATACAACATTAGTTACGCAAACCAAGCGGGTTTGAGTTTTCGTCCTTTTGGGTTCGCCATGAAATTTTAAAGAGATCATATATAATTTCTTGGAAAATTTTGAGTTTAAAGACATTCCTACTTTTACTTCAATGTATATGATAGATATTTGCAGAACAATAACGTTTCTAATGTGCGTTAAATATGGGAGATAATTTCACACTTTTTTGCATAGTTTGTCTGGAGGTATTTTTGCCACCAGGTATGCATTCGACATATCCTATATACTTACTGTGGTGAACTGCAGGAAAAAATAAATTAAACTTGAGCAGCCGACAATTTTGACACTGGTAAGAATATGCTGTTGAAATTGTAAAATTAACTTTTCAAGCTGCCATTTTGTTGGAACTGTCTATCAATCTGAGAATATCAAAATAAAAATTTCTTAATATTCAGACATAAGAGCCGCTTCATTCTGCACGGATGTGCACAATGGCTTACATGTACATTATTGAAATATTTTTACTACATGCCTTTTCTGATAAGAGAATTTAGTCTTAATAAGAGTATATTTTGTTTTCTTTCCAAAACTGGCGCAACAACAAAAAAATATCTCAAAATCTAACTGTGCACGTCTAGAACAGAATGGTAGATTAAATCAAGTATTTTTGTTGGCTTTATGTGTTGATCACACACAATAAATGTATTTGGCAAGAAATGAAATATTATTTCTATATTCATGGCTGAATGGCGATTTCAAGCATTTTTGGAAATGCTAATACTTGTAAGTATATGTATACTGGTAAGTTCATTTTGGTTCCAACAGTGTAAAGGAACAGTGATGTTAACAGTACTGTATTTATATTAATACAATTTGCTATTTATCTAAGCTCAATCTTTTAACAAATTTTATAACGCAGTTTTCAATCTGCCTTATTGTCTATGTAACTGTAACATATGACTTAAAACTTTCATTTGCTATATTTTCACAAGATGGTAAAGTTATCAATGCGATAGGTTTATCGCGGAAACAATTTTTTATGACTCACAATCAACATTATTTCAAATAAAACAAAGTTTATCAATTATATGCCATTTCACATGAAAATGTCAAAAATATCCACAGATTTATAGTATTTTACCCATAATACTGATAAAACTGCAAGCAAATGCGTTGTAGGTGAAAGACCGACACAAAATATAAAAATTCTGATCTGAGATTGAATTTTAAATTTTTCTATAATTATGTTTGGATACATTTCAAACTGATGTCGTACCTTGAATATTGCGACATTTAACGGTAGTTTTGTAATATTCCACTGTAAGGGAAAATTCTGCGACATTTAAACGTCATCAAAATGGCATTTACCTTCAGAATATGTTGTCAAGGCATTTAGCGGCAGTTGCGACATTTAGCAACCATCGTGCGACATTAAGCGACAATCGTGCGACATTAATAGGCAAGTAAGACATTTAGCGTCGTTGCGACATTTCGCGGCGTCCCATTAATGTATTTCACGTGAAGAAAAAAAGTCATTTTTAAGTGAAATAAATATTGTCAGGTATTTATTTGAAGTTACAACTTTGTCAGATTGTTTATATGAAGTAACCATTTACAATTGTTGTAAGATTGGTTTTATTCTCTTACGGCATGCTAGTTAACTAGATCTAATACTGTATTAGATAGAAAAATGATGTCAAATTACAGTTGCTACCACATATAAGTTGATGAAACAACGGTTTGCCCTGCCCCTGCAATCATTGCTTGAAGCAAATTAAAGGCGTATTTTATTATCTTTTTTATATCTATTTATTTATTTATTTATTTATTTATTTTATTTATTTTTTCATTTATTTATTTATTTTAGAATTATTTTTTTATTCTTTTATAGTTCTTACAAGTCACTCATTCATCTACTTCGGTTGCTTTTTTTAAAGTGATTTAGTATTTTGTATAGAAGTCAAAATACTTCTTTGTTTACATTTTGGTACTTAATGACAAATTATTTTACTTTTATCCTTATTTTCTTCAGGTAACAAGCATCTAACATGCTCTAAAACCATTATAAAACCGTCGAAGAAGGAGACATAATGTGGCGTTAAAGGGAGACTAATCTTGAAAATATAAAGTGACATCTATAAATAACTACAGCGTATTTCCCGTGATCGATCGATTTCTATTTATAACACTTGACCTGCTTTACTTCAGCGCATATGTGTTTACATTCCTTTTCAAGGTCGCATGAGGTCATGAACTTCTCCTGGCGGGATATTGATAATATAATAAGACTGGGAGTACAGAAAATGTAACGGATGTGTATGTTTTGATCATTTAAGAAAATGAGAGGAAAATTTATTAGCGGATATTTAATGGACGACACGAAAACGCAAGCATGGATTATTTATCTGATAGTGAATGTAATATTCAGATCATGTTATAGTCAATCTGTACTTGCTTTGCGACCTAATAGAGTTGTAGTTAAAGTTAATAGTACCGATAAACAAACATTGTTTACACATTTAAAAACATACGGATTTACTTATGTGCATAAGGTAAGGAAAGATCAATGTTACAGTTTGCTAACGTACATAGTTCGTAGTTGCGAACGATTTACGTAAACTTAGATTTAGATCGATATATAGAAAATCAACGGTAAAGGTAGATCATAATCTAACTTTATAGACTAGGATTCATAAAGATCTAAACTCTTTTATATCTACTAGTAGATATAATAATGAAAATAGACAGGACTAGCTTTGAGCTTTTGACATAGTTTCATAAATACAGGTTTTCATATGGTGTATATAGTCATTCTAAAATATGTTTGTTCTGGGTCAGAATCTCGCTAGATATTATTGCCCATACACAAAATAACACAATATTTCATCGCGTAGATCTACTACAATTAGTTGGACAACGGTGCATCTGTTAGTTTTAGTTCTAACAGTTACTTTGAAAGCGCGATTATGGCAAAAACCTTGAAAAGCTTTTTTGAACCAACAGTTGCCTAGGCTACTTGTATCATATGGAGAAACATGGCCGTGACCCCAGCTCAAACCACGATCTAGCTCAGAGGCCGATACCTTGACCCTTAACCTTGGTGATTAAATGATCTTTTTGTGCAAATTTCAAATAGCTCCTGAGACCAAAGCTATTTTCCCAATTGTAGTGTAAGTTAACAGTCCCAATTTAATGTTACCTTTTTATTCGGTTAACCTTATTCAGGCATCATGCATGGATTGGTGCATAAAAGCGGAATACATTGTACATAGCATCACATTTAGTGATGCGTCGCGGAAATCCTATTTTTGTACGTCTACATGTATTATATAGATGTTATTTAGTGTTTGGTGAGATATTTGTCTGTCGTAGTTCATTTATAAAAAACAGCGTTCCGTACACGATGCACGAGAGAACGAATATACCTGTCGGCGTTCCATATATCATTTACACCTCAAGAACATACTTCTGTGCTTATAATAATCAGTTACAATATATCTCAAAATTGTGTCCTACATATCGGAGAGATTACAACTTTCTAAAGTGCTGTTCAAGTATAAATAGATATAGAGATGTAGATTTGATCATTCAATGATGTGGGTAGGCCTACTCTATGTGCCTAATATTCAATTATGTGATACTCATTATTGTGTTGTAATGACGAGTATCAGCATATTTTTGTGAATGTTAAAAACTTCAACCCTTAAACTTGTTTATTTCTTAAATGGACTTGTCCAACCTTCATTTTTGGGACTGCCCAATACCAGTTTCGGGGATAACAAAATGAAAGTTAAATGTAAGTAAGCAAGCAGTGTAGTGCCTAGTCAGTCTACATGGGTGTACAGACTGGCCTGGCGCTATACTGATGGCAAAGTATAAGCACTTCAGTTCGAGCAGAGTTAAGACCTATGGTTAAATCCTGTGAAATATCATATTATTAATTTATTTGTTTTAATTTCAAACTGATATAATTAAAATTTTGTTGACATATCTAATGTTTTATTATTTTTTCTCTCTAATTTTATAAAATATTTCTTATATCAATTATAGGTATTAGCCAAAATAAGCTATAAAGTTGTATTTTGCTATGTCCGGCGAGGACTGTCCTAAATATAGAATCAAGGTCACTAGTTTTAAGGTTACTGTCCGGTTACGTTTAAATAAATATACTTGCTCTGTTACAGTATGAAGTTCAGCATACAAAAATCTAACGAAAAACACAACAATTTAGACAATAGAGCTTACTAGTGCAATGTAAATTCACTAGGAAGACTTGACACTAAGTCTTATTTATTCTGCATGGTATTTCATTTTTATTTCAAATGGATTAAAGGCTTTTCACAAACTTATATAAATCATGAAATGTATTTTAAGAAATATAAAGAACAAGAAGATAAATATAGACCTATGTCACCGTTTAACACTTCTTCATGACGGGTTAGAAAGATCTTTGTTAGATAATGTAACATATAATTGTTTAAAAATGTACAAATAGATTATTACTAAACAATGCTTGTACTGCTATGATTTTGTAGGCCGATAAGATATTGACTTTTGTAATAATCATGTGCATATTTCGCAACATGTACTACTTGTTTCACATATTACCTGTTTTACATACATCACGGTGCATATCCATATCGGTACCCTCTTTGCGAAATCTGCTGAAACGGCACCCTCTTTGCACATGCACAGGCCACTCTCTGCTAAAAACAAACCAGCAATGGATAACAATCCAGTAAAATTTCAATATAATAAGGAAAGAAGGTATGACACGTAGAAAAGATGTATACCACGGAACACTAGAATGTTTTATCTATGTGCTGATTTGTCATGTGCCCGTTTTTCATGTACTACAACTTCACAATAAGCTACAAAAAATCGACATGTCTTGCTTCGCCCATCACCTCGACATACTTTTCGGGCTGAAATGAACCTGTGGCTTGATTATATATGCATCATACATATTTAGTATGTTCATTTACATATCATCTTCGGACAAATGGCAGTATATTGTCAAAAATAATTGTAAAATTCATAAAAACACCCTACTTTCGGTTTTGCAGCGGCACGGGCTACCTCTCTTCATTTGAATTTTTATATCACAGGCACCCTCTCATTTTTTTTACACATAGGTACCCTCAAGGCACGACATATGCTTTTATTTGCGTTAATCGTAAGGTATGTAATATTTCTTACTTTTATGTAAATATTACATACTTAACGATTAACGCAAATAAAAGCATATGTCGTGCCTTGAGGGTACCTATGTGTTAAAAAATGAGAGGGTACCTGTGATATAAAAATTCAAATGAAGAGAGGTAGCCCGTGCCGCTGCAAAACCGAAAGTAGGGTGTTTTTATGAATTTTACATTTATTTTTGACAATATACTGCCATTTGTCCGAAGATGATATGTAAATGAACATATTAAATATGTATGATGCATATATAATCAAGCCACAGGTTCATTTCAGCCCGAAAAGTATGTCGAGGTGATGGGCGAAGCAAGACATGTTGATTTTTTGTAGCTTATTGTGAAGTTGCAGTGCATGAAAAACGGGCACATGACAAATCAGCACATAGATAAAACATTCTAGTGTTCCGTGGTATACATCCTTTCCACGTGTCATACCTCCTTTCCTTATTACAATGAATTTTTACTGGCTTGTTATCCATCGCTGGTTTGTTTTGAGCAGAGAATGACCTGTGCATGTACAAAGAGGGTACCGTTTCAGCAGATTTCGCAAAGAGGGTACCGATATGTATATGCACCGTGTACATGCACACGTTTATACAAGCCGTCGGAACGAAATTCCGTGATATTGAATTCCGGAAGGACGTAAGTTTCGTTACGGTTAAGATGTACATGTATGATGTATTGAAATAGTCAATATAAGAATCTAGTTTTTATTTCGCTCTTATTGATTAAACTATAGAACTGATCAAACTTTACGTTTCCGTGTCTTCTGCAAATTTCCAGGCTCAGCGAAATCCACCAGAGTCGAATAAAGATTCCAGACCGAGAAAATCTTATAACTATATACTTGTATTATCATTGGATTTCAAAAGATTGCATGATGATGGTGCAAATGTAATGAATTCTAAAAATGAATAAAAAATACAATACATGTACATGTATCTATGACTGTTCTTACTTTAGCGTGATATCCTTAAAACTAGGACCGAAATTGGTTCATATAGTTTATGTTTATTACTTGGCCTATTTATCGTTTGCTTATCTGTGTAAGAAAAGTTTGTTAATATTTAGTTGCGACCATAATGTTGTTTATACATGTAGTACGAAGGTCATACGCGTAGGGATTTAATAATTAAGAAGGCATTATTCGTACAATATCACGTGATTTATATAGTCGTGACAAATAACTATAAACAACAAAAAAGTCTTGTTTACCAAAGTCCGTTTGCACACTAATAGATGTTAAAAATATATACATGTTGGAAGTATTTCAAGCAAAAATGTTTTATTGTGTTAATTAAACTTTATTAACTACGTTCGAATATTAAAAACGACGTTTGAAACGCATTTTGAATGGTTCCAAGCAAATTTGAAATGACTGATTGAGATTCTCTGATAACTATGTCAAAAACCGTTGATAATCGGGTCATATATCGTGAATATTAAGATTATGTATCACTAATATCTAGGTGATATTCCATCGTTCCACCGATAACTGGATCATGTTCCATCTAAAAAAGTGGTGATTAGTATGTTGTCGCTACTACATGATCTTAAAATCCGTTTTTTCAGGCATTATACCGCCGATAATCAGTTCATATTTTGTCGAAATCAGGTCTTTTTGCGCCGATTAGTTTCTATAGCGCCGATAATCAGGACCTAAATCGCCGATAACAGTCATATACTGCCGATAATGGTCCTAAACCACCGATAATCAGGTCCCATGCCGCCGATAACAAAGTCATATACTGCCATTAATTAGGAAATAGATATCAATTCTGAGTGCATTGTTGTAGAATAATGCACGGTTTGAGTTCAAATGCGTAGTAATATAATCACGAAGGCCGATAGGCCTGAGTGATTAATTACAAAGCATTTGAACGAAAAACGTGCATTATTATACAATAATGCACGAAGAATTAATATCTATTTCCATTCTAACACGTCAAGAATAAATATAATTATTATTTTTAAGGTGGACTTTATGTTTGGTGGTTAGATTTGTTTTCGCCTAGGGGTTTCCAATAGAAACGTTCTTTAAAGGCTGTTCCAGTAGGTTGAAAAATCTGTCGTTAAATCTACCGTGTGTAGAAACATTTTGAGAATAACGAATTTTGAAAACGTTGATACAACTTTGTTTCATTATTTTATTTCACTCTATAATTTTTCAAGCGAAATACAAATTATTAAAAGTGAAAAAAATGTAAAACTTAACTCGTTTGCGACATTAAAATAGCGTACTTGATTTGATTGTTTTGCACGTGCTGTTTGGCGCTACATTGTGACGTCACGTAAACAACACTTTAAACGTCTGTACAGCGTTAACGACTGAATTAAAGATATTGGTGTTCGGATTCATTTTCTTAGTTAGACCATTTTCTTTCATTCTAGATAGTTTTCACAACAAAATTCGGCAAAAATTGTTTTTATTTATAAGATTTTTCAAACAAAATGGCGCCCTCAATGTGAAAATACACAGGGAGATAATAAGAACGGCGAGTGCATTGTTGTAGAATAATGCACGCTTCGGGCCTTCTTTGTTTATATAGAAAAAATTCCGATAGTGTTAGAATATTCCTTTACTGCCAATAACCAGGTCCCACGCCGATAACAAAGTCATAGACTGCCAACAATATTCCTATACCGCCCATAACCAGGTCCCACGCCGATAACAAAGTCATAGGCTGCCAATAATATTCCAATACCGCCGATAACAAAGTCATAGACTGCCAATAACGACCCTATACCGCCGATAATCGGTGCATATTCTACCGATAAGCAAATCTTAAAAGCGCCGATAATCAGGTCATATTCTATACCGATAATACCTAAAACGCCAATTATAAGGTTATATAAACCTCAGTTGTAAATACAAAACAATTGAAGGATTCAAAAACATGCTTATCATCAATTTTATCATTCTGAAAATGTTATATTATTTTCTTTGTAATAATGGAATCAATTTGAATTTATTTCAGATAACGCCGTCGATATTTACATTTGAATACGATAATAATAACAGAACGTTACGAGAATCGTTACTGATTATAAAGGACGTCTTCACTGATGAGGTAATATAAATATTAACATTTTAACTTGATATATACAAATGAGCCGCGTCACGACAAAACCAACATAGTGGGTTTGCGGCCAGCATGGAGCAGTCTGATCAGGATCCATGCTGTTCGCTTACAAACACTATTACAAGTAGAGAAACTGATAGCGAACAGCATGGATCCTGATCAGACTGTGCGGATACGCAGGCTGGTCTGGATCCATGCTGGTCGCCAACGCATTAGTTGGTTTTCTCGTGACACGGCTCATATTATGTTCTATAAAACGGACACGTACTCTGTTTTAAATAGCAAACACCTTAATATGATATGTGTACTTAATTATAAAGAACTTTTTTTCATAAACGGATGTTGTTAAATTTATGTGTAATATTTTCCGTTTTTCCTACAAATATAGAAAATGTAATGTATAAAGATTTGGCAGGTTATATATTATCAAGTATGAATGGCTGTTTGCTTTATAACCTTCACCTAGCGACCTTGGCCAGGTAAAAGGTTATCAACGTGGGACCAAGCCCCAGAAAAAAAAATTCACCTCCGGGACCCTCATTGCTACCCTAATGTCCCCCCACCCAAGCACATAGTGATCATTCAGTATATACAAAGAAAAAAAAATAATAATTAAAATTAAAAACAATTTTCACAAAAAGATATTACTTTGAACTTAAGTTGAAGTTTAACCATGTAGTACGTATCAGAAATACTTTTTGTAAAAATTTGATTTTTTTATTGACATATATGTTGAATGATAACTTTGTGTTTTGGGGAATTGAAGGATATTTGGATAGCGTAGACGGTCCCGGGGAGGGACCCGTGGTTTAGTGCTTGACCCCTCGCCAATAACGTTTCGATCCATATAAGTTTAGCCATATAACCTGTTTAATTAGTTTATTTCTAAAATACGCTCATTACATTTTATATGCATAAACCATTTATCTTACTCAATCTTTCTTTCAATTATGCTAAATACAAATACCTTTAAACCATTTGAAGTGAATTGGTCTATAGGGGAATGTTTGTTCTACAATTTATGATAACGTTGATAGTAAACATATGAGCTGCGTCACGACAAAACCAACGTAATGCGATTGCGACCGGCATGGATCCAGACCAGCCTGCGCATCCGCGCAGTCTGATCAGGATCCATGCTGTTCGCTATCAGTTTCTCTACTTGTAATAGGGTCGGTAAGCGCAGGCTGGTCTGGATCCATGCTGGTCGCAAACCCACTATGTTGGTTTTGTCGTGACGAGGCTCATATATTTATACAGCAGGTTGTAGACCCATCCACTTTAACATATTTATACACGAATTAGCATTAGCATATTGTGCATTAAAAACCTAGTCTATTTTCCTTCGTTAATTCATTATAGCATACAAGTCATTAAAGTATAATTTACATTTTGATCGAGTGTATGCTGCTTTCTTAGTATTTTGATTTTAAACGACTACTAGTATATTATTATTTTACTTTTTCTGTCGTTAATCTTTTTTTTATTTGTTTAAGTCGGCAATTTAAGTTGTTGCTGGTTAATTTCCGTTTTAATGCTTCCCATAGTCGCTGCTTTCTCCGCGACAACAAGAGATATCGACATGAAACTTTGTACGTAGATAGATCTCGTTGGGTAGATGTGCACAAAAATCGTAACTCTGTCTTGCCTTAATTTTGGAGTTATTGCCCTCTGTTCATTTTTACACTTTGAACTTTGTCCGGGACATAACTCTGAAATTAAAAGAGATATCAACATGAAACTTTATAGGTAGATATATCTAATTGGGAAGAAATGCAGTGCAAAAGAACCATAACTCTGCCTTGCCTAATTTTGGAGTTATTGCCATTTGTTCATTTTAACACTTTGTACTTTGTCCGGGACATAAGTCTGAAAGTATAATCGATATGAACAAGACACTTTGTAGGTAGATAGATCTCATTGGGCAAAATTTCAGTGCAAAAGAACCATAACTCTGCCTTTCCTATTTTTTTAGTTTTTGCTCTTTGTTCATTTTAACACTTTGTACTTTGTCCGGGACATAACTCTGAAAGTATAATCGATATGAACAAGACACTTTGTAGGTAGATATATCTCATTGGGTAGATGTGCAGTGTACAAGAACCGTAACTCTGCCTTGCTTATTTTGGAGTTATTGTCCTTTGTTCGTACTTTGTCCGGGACATAACTCTGACACTATAAGAGACATGAACAAAGCAATCCGGGACATAACTCTGACACTATAAGAGATATGAACAAAGCAGTAACTCTGTCTTGCCTAAGTTTGGAATTTTTGCACTTTGAACTTTGTCCGGGACATTACTCAGAAACTTCAAGAGGTATACTTTTCTGTGTCCAGAACCAGTTCGGGAGCATCGCCCGGTTCAACCGGTTCTTGTTCTGAGCAAGACAATGGATGTTATAATTATTAATTAGGATCGAATGCATGACTTCGAGATTTATTTTCAGGTGCTTGAAACAGAACCAGTAAGACTATATACTAATATAATACAACCGTGGGATCGGGGCAAGGAAACGCATCTACCGATAGTTGAATACATTCCACCAGTAAGTTTCATTTAGCATGGCAATCGTTTGTAATTTAAGTAAAAATCTTCAAATTTTATAATAACATCAAATTTTTGTATTGTTTTTTTTCTTTTCTTTTCTTTCAAAAACGTATATGTTGCTGTCGTGTGCCGTGGTGCAGCGGTAAAAAAATATTGATAAGATATGTTTTAAATTTGACAGGAGATTTCAATACAAGATGGTAACGGAGTTGGTGTATCAGCAGTTTGGTCACGTGGTTACAGTGGGCGTGGCGTGACAGTAGCCGTCACTGGTGTCGGAATAGATCCTTATCTTTTAGATTTGCAGAAGAATTTGGTAAAAATATGTCGTTAAGACATTCAAATGATTATAATTAACTTTTATTTTTATATTTGCAAGTCATGGTTTTAAATGATTTTCCTTAAATTTGGAATAATTTAAATGCATAAAATATTCATAGTAAAAAAAATACTTCCGCTTAAAAACCACCATGTTCTTTTAAGAGTTCTGGGTCCTATACGAGTACCATTGGGACGTCATATTTAAGTTTATCCAAACAATGACGTCATCATTAGAAATCACGACAATTTAATACTAAAACAGGGTTAACCTTCGAAAGTGCTTTTGCAACAAAATAAGTTATTTTTATACATACACTAGTGTTCGTAAGGCGTATTTGATAATGCAAATATATTCGGTTGTTTTTTATTAAATAAAATTAGTTTTGTAATAAAATCTGTACATACTTTTCTTTTCAGAAACTGGATCTGAGCTTTAATTATATGTACAATAAATACGATATTACCCCAGAGTATTTCAGCAGAAGCCAATCAAGGGCTTTGTTACTTACGGAGTAAGTTAGACAAGCTTTACAGATCAATATTAAATACATGTAGTGATTTAATTGTGCAATTTTATATACTTTTATATATTGATAGCACTACAGTCAATGCCATGTTTAAAATTGTATTCACACTTAATCCTTCTATTTCATATACGTAATTATAAACTATACTTTAATATCTTTTGAAGTAAATTATTATCTTTTGAAGTAAATTATTATCTTTTGAAGTAAATTATTTTAATAATTATCTTGGATATCTTTTGAAGTAAATTGTGTATATCATATTTCATATTATGTATTCTTAACGAAAATTGCATTAGATAATTTTAGTATGACTGAATTCCACGAGATAAAAAAAAATTCGTCAGTGTCGGATTCTATTGAGCGTTTCTTGTGACTAGATTTGTAAACATTACGTCAATCTATTGTCTTACAATCAAGTCTCGAGGGATTCCCTTCAAGTCATGATATTTCCTGAGTGCAAAAATCAATGTTCTTTAAGTGACGAGAAATGCTATTAAAAACCGTTCACAATGAGAAACATTGGCCTTGATGTATTTATGTGATCTTTTTTGTTTAGCTAGCCTGATAAATTGTGACGTTTATATTTTAGTCAGGGGAACAATATTGCCGGGTTACTAGCAGCCGAGAAAGACAACGGTTTATGCGGTGCTGGAATTGCATACGATAGCAATATTGTAGGTGGGGAAAAGTTATTTTACCATCAATTTCTATTTCACGGCTAATTTATATTTCACCGCCAATTTATCTTTTACAATGTTTGTAGACATTTGGAAATATCAATTACGTATTAAATTTTATCTTTACATGGTCAATTAACCACCAATTTATGTTTCACAGCATTTACAGATAGACAAAACTCTGTATTTTATTGCCCATTCTGTACTTTATTGCCCACTTATCTATAGGAAGTCAATAAACCGCCAATTCTTTCAATAGATAGACGCAACAAATTGATACTTTTCTAAGAATGTGGAAAGAAAAAAGTTTTGAATTTTGATAAAAAAAATTTTTATGAAAGTAAACTTTTTCATTGTTTTGTAGGGTTAACTATATTTAAAGTAGGACCTCTACGGGACGACCTATCCACACTGAAACTTTTAACAATTTCTGACGTCATAGCAAGTGCTCTGACCCATCGTCTAGATGACATAGATGTATTTATAAACGCTTGGATCCCATCATCATCATTTGATCAGCTAGATTTAGCTACACGGAATGCAATTGTATACGGAGCAACTGCGGTACTTTGAGATATTATACTATATTCTGTACAACTTGCGAAAAAAATTCTTGACATTATTCTCTAAATGGTGGCACTCTTGTTGCTTTTATCGCTTGGCAATTTGCATTTCTCTAAATATTTTAGGTTATAATTATTAATTGATATACATGTATGTCTAATGCTTTCTTAAGAAATATATATTTTTTTTAAAAATATCCCTTTAAAAACTTGGTTAAATTAACACAATGATATTATAGTCAATGTTATGTAGTGTAATTGGAAAAATATCCGAAGGTCTCCGAAACAGACGTGGAATAAATCCTCGAGAGGGTCACAACAAGTATTGGGTCTCGTGGGGATGAAGTTAAACATGCGATAAATGTTAAGTCTCGCTAATTAAAAAGGGCGACGCAACATGCAATGTTAGCGAACATGTAAACAGGCGATTTTTAAACTGGCCATAACGTTTTTTTTTTTTTTTTTTTTTTTGATGCGTTTATTTAAGGTCGCCGCCGGAAAGCCCATATGGGCGACCGTACGCTCAAGTCAGGTCATCCTAGAGCGCCCGCCGAGATTTTTCGTCGATTTTTTTCCAGCTTTATTGGTGGAGGAAGACCCCAGGTGCCCCTACGGGCATTATTTCAGGCACGAGCGGGCACCTGGGTAGAACCACCGACCTACCGTAAGCCAGCTGGATGGCTTCCTCACATGAAAGATTTCGACCCGAGTGAGGATCGAACCTACAGTGGTGAGGGACCTGTGATCTCAAGTCAACGACTTTAACCACTCGGCCACGGAGGCCCCCTATGTCCATAACGTGACATTTATATTGATATTTATATTGTTTGCGAGCAGGGGAGGCGTGGTTTAGGATCAGTGTATGTTGTACCAGCAGGCCCTACCGGAAACGTGCTTTCCAACAATATATACACAATCACTGTGGGTGTGCTTGATGTGAATGGAACTAAACAACGAAATACTCTATCCGATGCCAGTGTGCTCACTTCCGGTCTGATGTCATCAAAAATGGTATGACGTGTAGAATTTATGTTTGAGTTTATTCAAAATTGTAGTAATAGTGGCTAAAACCCTAGTCTATATTTAACTACTTTTTTATATAGATCTATAAACGCTTGGGATATGGATCGTACTTGTGACCGCATATCGAGTGCATGTCTTTAAATCCACATACATTCCATTTCGTTAATCTCAAAATATAGTCTAATCATAAGAACTATAAAAAACTTATTTTAGCTAGTTTAAAAAAATCTTATTATATTTAAGGTTTTAAAAGGTGTACTTAACTTTGATGGAGTCACACTTCGATTCACAACCCATGTGTATGTTGCAAATCAATAAACTTTTGAACAAAATAAAGAATAAATATTAACATCTTGAAAATAATATTGCTCAGAAGGACATATTTTACGTTATACTATTATAAAAGCAAATATATAATTAACCAAAAGTGGCTTTCGCTACTATGAAATTACGTTTCTAGATATGATTTTATTGTTAATGTCATAATTAAGTTACGTATCTTTACCTTGGTCACGTGACTCGTGATTTTCTTCGTTATAATAGTGCTTTCTAGAATATTCTTATTGTAGATTACCGAAATGTTAAAGACAGTCTTGTTTATTCTTATTGTAATATGAAATACACTTGTAAATACACTGTAAATGATATTAACAAATATAATATGGCACAATATTAGTAAACAGTTATTAAGCTGTCAAACTCTATTAATCAAATTGAAAGTTCAAATAAGTACATTCACTGTTTTCAAGGTAACGACCTCAGATAACAACAGATGTATTGCCAACTTTAAAGGTTATTCCGCGGCAGAGTCTCAGATAGGCGCCATTATTGCACTTGGTATTGAGGCAAAGTAAGTTGATGATATTGTATTTTTGTACTGACAGACATTTTTTCTGTTCTGCTTTTAGAAGTCAATATTATGTGGTCAAATACTAAATAAGATAAAGGGGCGTCCGTGGCCGAGTGGTCAATGTCGTTGACTTCAGACCGCTTGCCCCTTATTGCTGAAGGTTCGAGCCTCGCAAGCGTAAGCTGGCATACGGTACGTCGGTGGTTCTATCAGATGCCCGCTTGTGCCTGAAATAATGTAGAGAGAGGCACCAGTAAAGCTGGGCAACCCCCTTATGACTTATACTGTGTTGGTGCGACATAAAACATGACCAAAATCACTAAATACATGTAATACTTATTTTCATAAGTGCACAATACCTGATATTTGTGGCCGAAATTATATTTTGCCAAATGAAATCGCTCCATTTTTCATTTGTTTGGTACACTGTATATTTAATTTGTTTATTTGTTTATTTATTAAATATTGTCCCAGTTCTGTGTTAATTTATGTCAACCACTATATACTACATAAGTTATTGTTTGTCAAGCCAGGGTTAATTCCATTAATTACCCCATGACGCTGTGCCGCTGTTGCACGTCATACAAATTGAGTTTCATTAACACTGACAAAAAAAACAACTTAATTTAATCATGTATATTTTGGGGAAAAAATCTTGTTAAAAGCAAATCATTTATACATGTATTATAAATATCATTTGAAAATCTCAAACTTTTCAACTAATGACACCTGAATTCTATATAGGAAAAATATAATGTACAGTTAATAAAAAGTATTTAAAAGAATGATTGATTGATTGATTGATTGATTGATCAAATTAAAAAAAAACCTGCATGTTATCATGTTTAAAGTAGAAGTTGAACTTTCGATCTATATTCAACGACTTTGACATTTTTGCACTAACTTATCATCTGATAAACTACACGAATTGTTAATCAAATGTTGAACATGGTTACACTGACATTTGTATCACATACTTTTAGATAAAAGTTACAAACATAAATAGTTGACACATCCTACAATAAAATATACAACTGGATAACTTGGCACCCAACAACTGACGAATTATCCATCATGTGGAGTGTTTTTGTTGTTTTTGTTTTTGTTTTTTTGTTTGTTTTTTATTATTAATTAAACAACAAAGTAATAAACCATTTCAATGTTGTAAATACTTACCAATTAAAATTATTTTTTTTACTACTTTCGAGACTGCTTTTTAAAAGCTTATCTACAAAAAATAAATGTGTTACAATTGATATGAAATGTATAAATTTTGAACAAAACAAAATTAAAAACACTCCTTTTATAAGATAAAATGTAGATACACTGTTGGTTTCTTTTTAATTTCCCTGTTAACTTTTCATTGTTGTTGTACATGTAGTGCGTGTACTTTGGTTTGTTTATATTACCTTCATGTTTATGAAATTGTAGCAAAATTATTGACCATTTATAATTCCGAAAAGTAAAATGGAATTATGTTGTACAATCACTTCTATATAAAGATTTATGAACAGTTTATAAATTATAATGACCTGGCCGGGTGCAATTTAATCATCGGCTAGTGGTTCGGTTATATAAACTTAAAATCATTTGTAGTTTTTTGTACTGGGTCATATAGCACTGTTATTTAATTCATTATATTTATGTACATGTATATATAAATGTATTGCTGGCGAACAGATCCTACACATATTAGATGTACAAACAAATTTCTTATATTTTTCGAACCTGGATTTTTATTCATAACTCTGTAATAGTAACAGAAACAACATCATCTATTATCCACGATACATATATTCCTTACATACTACATTATCTACTTTGGGGTATTTTTGAGACATTTCATTGATATTAAAGAATGTACTGAATATGTACCGTGGGTAACGAACGATGTGGAAATAAATGATATATTATAATCTTTTTTCAGTCCTCGTCTATCACTGCGAGAGATCCAACATTTACTGGTATTGGCTTCCGAGCACAGTTGGCTACGTACTAATTCCTTATTTAAAAGAAACGGTGCTGGGCACTATTGTAAGTTTTATACTTATACTTGTTTTGTTGTCAGATTATTTCATATTCTTAGTCCATTTTACATTTTTGTCATAAAATGGAGAAAATCAGAATTCATAAAGATCACCCAAAACGGCAGTATTGAAAATGTTGCAGGCTCAGTTTGATTGAGCCTGTTCATGGACAGGTACTGAAAAGTATAAGTTACCGTCCTAGCCAACAATAATGTCGTGCTGAACATCTTCAAAGATCGAAAAAATAACATCTTTGATTATATGTACGAGGCGACTTTTTACAGCCTCAGTAAGATTGATTTATAATATACATAGTATTTTTTATTTTTCAAAATATCGTATATACTACAAGCTAGGTTAAAAAAATATTTTGTTAATCCTTGCATACTTTATGCAGTTTTTAGTGTTTAAAGTTATATCTAGTGAAGAAAGTGAACAGTATAATCATGTTGTTTCCATGATGTTATTGTGCTTCATTCTCCAGAGTTGTAACATAGAACTTTATTAAGTATTTAACAACCATAAATATTGTATAAGTAAGTAAAGAGACTAATATGTTCCGGAATGAAATTATAGTAGGGTACTAAGTAGAGGTTTAACCGTTAAGTTTGATTTCGTGCATGCCCAATTGTTTGTTTTCTAAGACAATACCAAAATATTTTTTTCGTGCAGGTAGTTTTGAAGTACATGTACATGTTTGTAAATTGTTTTTCAAATTTCAAACAACAATTTTGCAATGTTATGGAAACTACAGGCCACATATGTGTATATATATTTATATTGAAACCTTTTACACTTTAAGAATTCTATTTAAATTATTTGATACAACTAGGTGGTGAAGTATTTATTCACATCGACAGTATATCAACCGGTGTTAGATCAAATAACACCTGCTCTCAATGATCCTGATTAATTTACTTTTCTTATTTTATGGCTCCGCGAGAGTTCTGGTTATCACAAAATAAATAGCCGAATAAAGTGCCAAATAAAGTTATTATTCTTTAAAGTCAGAAACGTGTTGAACAGTTAAAGGTCAAAGATAACAAAATATACAGTACTTGTTCCGTAGATAAGACATTTAAAGGCTTCCAGTAGTTAGATTTATGAGCAAATACTTAAATGTTTTATCTTTAAATGTTACAATTGATAAAATTTATGGCTGATAGGTGCTTACTGGGCTGAATGAAAAAGTTTATTCAAGGACAGTAGAAAAATTAACTTAATTGTCAGTGCCACTGAAGCATTATACGAATTGGCGACTGAGACAAACCCAAATGAAAGATCCATGTAGTACTCTAAGCGTAGTTCTCGGTGGTTCTGAATCAAAACCAAAACCATCCGAACTTATGACAGGTCCTATAGTCGTTTAAGTTCGAAAACAGAACTTGGAATATATAACTACCTAACGGCTGATCCCCTTTGTCCATAAACACATCACTAAATCATATGTAACAAAGTATCGCAGTTCCCTTTCGTTCTTTATTAAAACAAATTGTAAGTCATGGAACAACTGTTTCAAATACTTTTTCATTGTAAATCCAACACTTGAAATATGGCCGAAGGCATTCATTCATTAAGTCTTCATGTATTATAATAAAAATGATGTGTCTATGCAAACAGTCTGAAGCACTTCCGGTTCCTCGGTGATAAAGTTCTATCTCTAGCTAGAGCCTCTTAGATTCAAAAAGAACATTTCAAAATTAAAGTACTTTAGTTTCCAGTCCCATCGTGATTAAAATCCATGTCATTTATTAAAAAATTCAGGCCCATATATATAAACATATTGTGTCATTTTATTAAATAACTCACGCCCATGTGTATATACATACTCTCTCATTTATTGATATCTCACGCCCATATTTTAAATATCTCACGCTCATCTTAATAATAAGCTATTTCATTTAATTAATACACACGTATCTCACGCCCATTTTGATAACAAACTATTTAATTTGATGAATATCTCACGCCCATCTTTATTACAAACCACGCCCATCTTGATTACAAACTTCTTCATTTTATAATTATCTCAGCCCATCTGATTACAAACTACTTCATTTAATAATTATCTCACGCCCATTTTTTACAGTAAACTATTTAATTTGATTTATATCTCACGTTTTTAGCTCGACTATTCGAAGAATATGAGAGCTATTGTAGTCGCCCCGGCGTCGGCGTCGGCGTCAGCGTCCGCGTCGGCGTCTGCGTTGGTTAAAGTTTTTTGTAAATTCAAATATTTCAATTATTGCTTGAGATATTCAATTGAAACTTACAATACTTATTTATAGTAACAATGTACATCAGATTGACAAGTTGGATAACTCTACCTACAATATTGACAGAATTATGCCCCTTTTTAACTTAGAAATTTTGGTTAAAGTTTTTTGTAAAGTCAAATATCTCAATTATTGCTTGAGATATTTAATTGAAACTTGCAATACTTATTTATAGTAACAATGTACATCAGATTGACAAGTTGGATAACTCTACCTACAATATTGACAGAATTATGCCCCTTTTTAACTTAGAAATTTTGGTTAAAGTTTTTTGTAAAGTCAAATATCTCAATTATTGCTTGAGATATTCAATTGAAACTTGCAATACTTATTTATAGTAACAATGTACATCAGATTGACAAGTTGGATAACTCTACCTACAATATTGACAGAATTATGCCCCTTTTTAACTTAGAAATTTTGGTTAAAGGTTTTTGTAAAGTCAAATATCTCAATTATTGCTTGAGATATTCAATTGAAACTTGCAATACTTATGTATAGAAACAATGTACATCAGTTTGACAAGTTGGATAACTCTACCTACAATATTTTCAGAATTATGCCCCTTTTTAACTTAGAAATTTTGGTTTATGTTTTTTTGTAAATTCAAATATCTTAATTATTGCTTGAGATATTCAATTGAAACTTACAATACTTATTTATAGTAACAATGTACATCAGATTGACAAGTTGGATAACTCTACCTACAATAATGACAGAATTATGCCCCTTTTTAACTTAGAAATTTTGGTTAAAGTTTTTTGTAAAGTCAAATATCTCAATTATTGCTTGAGATATTTAATTGAAACTTGCAATACTTATTTATAGTAACAATGTACATCAGATTGACAAGTTGGATAACTCTACCTACAATATTGACAGAATTATGCCCCTTTTTAACTTAGAAATTTTGGTTAAAGTTTTTTGTAAAGTCAGATATCTCAATTATTGCTTGAGATATTCAATTGAAACTTGCAATACTTATTTATAGTAACAATGTACATCAGATTGACAAGTTGGATAACTCTACCTACAATATTGACAGAATTATGCCCCTTTTTAACTTAGAAATTTTGGTTAAAGGTTTTTGTAAAGTCAAATATCTCAATTATTGCTTGAGATATTCAATTGAAACTTGCAATACTTATGTATAGTAACAATGTACATCAGTTTGACAAGTTGGATAACTCTACCTACAATATTTTCAGAATTATGCCCCTTTTTAACTTAGAAATTTTGGTTTATGTTTTTTTGTAAATTCAAATATCTTAATTATTGCTTGAGATATTCAATTGAAACTTACAATACTTATTTATAGTAACAATGTACATCAGATTGACAAGTTGGATAACTCTACCTACAATAATGACAGAATTATGCCCCTTTTTTAACTTAGAAATTTTGGTTAAAGTTTTTTTGTAAAGTCAAATATCTCAATTATTGCCTGAGATTTTCAATTTAACCTTACAATACTTATTTATAGTAACAATGTATATCAGTTTGCAAAATAGCATAACTCTGCCTGCAATATTTGTAGAATTATTTGTTTTTGAAACTTAAAAATTTTGGTTAAAGGTTAAAGGTCTTCAAAGATATTTACTTGAAACTTTACACATGTACTTAGGGTCATAATTGGAGAGTCATAATTGTTGTATGTCACTGACCAAGTTCCATAACTCTACTCGCATTAAGGCTGATTCATCTCCCCTTTTCTACTTAGTCTCTTGGTTAATGTTTACATGCAAGTTTTACATATCTCAATAACTATTAAAGATATTTATTTAAAACTTCACATATGCATTTAGGGTCATAATTGTAGGTCACTGACAAAGATCCATAATTCTATCTTGCATTTAGGCTGATTTTTTCTCCCCTTTTTCAACTTATGGTAAAGTTTTGCTTGTAAGTTGTTATCTCAATAACTACTGAAGGGTTTGTGCCTTTTTTGGGACAATTTTATGCATTCATGATAATAAAGCAGTGATTTACTTGATAAAACATCTTAATAACAAGCATTTGTACCTTTTCTGTCAAATTTATGTATTCATAGGTAATTAGTATTATTATACTCAATAAAACACCCTTGTGACATTACCTTCCGAATAGTCAAGCCAATACTGTATAATTAGACTCTCTCTAAGGCCTATAACATGAATTTATAAAAAAAAATTAGCCCTTTTGTGAACTTAAAAAAATTTAACATTATCAAGGCTCTTTTACTATCAAGCACTTAGGATAGTCGAGCGTGCTGTCCTACTGACAGCTCTTGTTAAATATTATTTTTTTCCGTGTAAACAGTCAGTGAGATGTTTGGATTTGGAGTACTCAACGCAGAGAAAATTGTGACATTGTCGAAAAACGTCACCGTAAATCAACTGATAACGAAATCACTGACAACAACCGTAATTACGTAAGTTTTATGATTGAATAAACATGACTGAATATAAATGTTTAAATATACAATATATAACAATTTTATTTAGTTATGTCTATTCAATCATATATTTTCAATCATGTATATTAAATCATGCATATTCAATCATGTATATTCAATCATGTATATTCAATCATGTATATATTCAATCGTGAATATTCAAAATTGATAGCTCTATGTCTTAGTGTTATGATATAAATATGTTTTATTCAGCAATATTTTTACATAGACCTACTGATTGATACAGGCCTGTAATTAATGACAAGTCAATAAATTGTTGTTTTGCTCCTTTTGTAATAATGTGCAAGATCTAGTTTAATTTAGGATAAAATAAAACCGATGAACATATGTGTAAAACATTGTTGGCCCGATCCGGTATATATGTCCCACTTGGTATACCAAGGTAATTGCAGATGGAGTAAGTTCTGGCTTAGGTAAACCATGAATAATTTCAAATTTGATTTCAGCTCTATCAGTTCCCTAGAAAAGAACGTCACGTTCTGCTATAGTTGTGACATCATCAGTGACGTCACATGTCTGACGACTGTAGAACACGTTGCTATCACCTTGAGTACAGATGTACCGGTAAACAATATAACGGTAGAACTGGTGTCACCCAGTGGAACTCAATCTTTGCTGATTGATAACCAGGTAATTTCATTGAGATCAGTCATATATAGCTCATCCATTGTGCAAGCCAGGAAAAAATAATAATAAATTGATGGTAATTATAAAATAAGATCATAACAAAAACGTTTCAATTATAAATTCTGATTGAGATTCACTGAGAACTGTATAATTATGCAACGAAAAAATCTGAAATGTTTTGAAACAAATATATATATATGATGACTACGAATAAACCATTGTGGCTGAGGAGTAGCCCAGACCTATGAGTTGAGGCATCGGAATAGCAGCCATCGTTTAACCGTGTTCCTAAGAGACGTTCGAGCAACTCACTGGAATAGCGCATTAGTATAACTTTACTATTTCGTGAATATTTCACTTTTTGTTATCTATTTATATCTAGCATATAGAACAGCCGGTGAAGGAAGCCCAACTAATTTCCACGAATTTTTGGGACGAGCTTGCATTTGGAGCCTGGGTTCTTGTTTTACGAAGTAAAGACTTAAACAGTAAGATTGAACGAATAAATTATTATTAATTATCAATTATTTTATCACAAAATATGTGTACTTCGTCACAAATCGTATGTTATTCATCACAAGTCAGCCTGCTTCGTCACAAATCGTGTGATATTTAACATAAAGCATTTGCACATTATCACAAAAACATGTGTGCTTTATCACAAAACATGTGTACTTCGTCACATATCGTGTCATATTCATCACAAAATGTGTGTACTTTATCACAAAATATGTGTACTCTATTACAAAACGTGTACTTTACCACAAAACGTAACTGAATGAAAATTATTTTCAATAGGATAATCCTGTAAAATCGATATCCTCTATATGTACAGCTTAATAAAAATGTAACTAATAACCACTACATGTATTAAGAAATATGTACCATTATTGTCCCCTACCGGTTTAACCGGAGGGGACTTTAGGTTTACCCTCCGTCCGTCTGTCTGTCTGTCTGTCCGCACTCACAGGAGAGTAATTATGTGGCTAGAGGGACAATAGGTAACTGTTTTTTCTCTTTGATGTCATTCATTCCGTAATGCTTTTATGTGGCTATTTTCTTTTGTGTGGTTAAAAAGAACAATAGAGAGAACAATAGAGTAGCCACATAATTACTGTCCTGTGAGAACGTCCGTCTTTCTCTGTCCGCCTGTCTGTCTGTCAGTCCGTCCGTTCACAAAACTTGATCCCGCGATAACGCAAAAAGTACTGAAAATATTTTTATGAAACTTGATATATGGATAGATGGCAGTGTGGGGATTATGCACGTCTTTTTCTTTTCTTCCTATGTTGAAAATTCTGGTTGCTATGGCAACAAATAGTCTGAAAATATGGCAAATTTAACACATAAACTGGATCCAGTGATAACTCAAAAAGTACTGAAAATATTTTTATGAAACTTGAAATATGGATAGATGGCAGTCTGCAGATTATGCACATCTTTTTATTTTCTTCCTATGTTAAAAATTCTGGTTGCTATGGCAACAAATAGCCTGAATTTCAAGATTTCTGATTTAACTTTTTCAGCTTTTTCACTTTCAGTTCTTTATTTCTTTAGGTGTTTACTTCAAACTTTAAATATAAGTTTTTGGTCATCAACCACATCATATGTGACAAGGTTTACAACTCTAGCACAAAAATTATCAGAATTACCTCCCTTGAACTTTGATTTTTGATGAAAAAAACGTCTTTTTTAAATAACTTCTTTATTTCCTAATGTATCTACTTCAAACTTCATATATATGTTACTTATTATCACTCAACATTTTTGGGAAGGTTAAATACTCTAGCAAGACTATTTCCAGAATTATGTCCCCCTTGAACTTTTCGAGAAATTGGTATTTTTTACTGCAACTTCTTCATTCCTTATAAGATTTACTTTAAAATCCCACATCGTAATAATATGACAAGGTTGTATAAACATAATTTCCTTACTAGGCAGGGAAACTTAACACATTACTGTGAAATAGACAAACTTAGAACTCAAAAGATTTAAGTTCATTCGTGTCATTTATTCACTGGTAAAATTGAAATCAGAATGTTGCTAGGGTTCTCACCGGTAGGGGACTTATGGATTGCTTGCAATACTATGATAATTGCTTTTTTATAGAAGTTCGACCTAAATTGTGTTGGGTCGCCGTGAAACTAAACAAACAAATAACAGATAATGAAACCAAAAACAAGTACGATATAACTGGATCTTTGTAAAATATCACAAATAAATAATCAGAGTTTAATGATTTATATTTTTTCTGTGTTTTTCTGAAGTGTTACATTTTATTTCCAGGTACATTTGATTTAAAGGTGATTTCATTAACTTTGTATGGAACCCGTAACAAGACAGTATCCGATGCGGTTAACTTACCTCTAAAACATATCTGTAAAAAATATGATACAGCCGATAATGATATTACAGCTTCTACTGTAGAATCTTCTACAGGTATAATTCCTGACAAGAAAAGCGACAGTGACGATAAATTGAACTTACCTCTTATTGTAGCATTACCCGTGGGTATAGTGATAACGTGTTTTATGCTAGTGTTCATTTGTAAGAGAGGTGGTACTCAAGGACCTGTGTCGGTGTATGGAAAACCGAAAAAGAACCAACAAAAGCAAGAAAAAAAGGGCGTTTTTAATCGACAGATTAGTCAAGACAATAGGTTACATAGACAGGTTAGTCTGCTTCGTGAACACTCTAGACAGTCAGGTGATTCTGATGAGTTGGCAGAAGATATTGAAGGCGAGGAGGCGGCGGCGGAGGCGTTGAATGACGTCATAAATCAAGAGAATGATCTCCATAGACAAGTCAGCTTGCTCCGGCAAAAGTCTAGACTAGCAAGCCCCTCAAAAGTGTTGATAGAAGATGTGTGAAGCGGAAGAGGCTGCAATGAACAATAACATAGTCTGAAATCTTCATGTGGCAATCAGTGTTGAATTATTATATGAATGACCCAAGTTGTTTACCTAATTCGTTTTTCCCCGGGCGTCCAGTTAAGGGGTGACCCCATTTATTTTCCACGTCATTGGCATGATAGGGGTCGAGGAGCATCAGCCTTTCACATGAATATTTGATTCTACCTTATTCGTTTTATTTCTATAAAGACCGACGCACATATATGAGCTGTTTACGATTCGCCATATTGAAATATTCTCATACAATGACGTCACATCGGAAAACATGCTATCACGTGACAAAATAGGTATTTGTAACAGACTGAAAATATTTCAGCCCTGACCGGGGATCGAACCCGGGACCTCTCACTCTCAAGGCGGACACTCTACCACGTCGCTATAAAAGCTAGCTCTATAGCAAGGAAGTATAAGTGCACCCTTATACTGTACCCTACTACATATTACGAAAATTGTCGAAAAATGGCGAAAGCGGCTTCGTGTTTATTACGATTTTACCCGAAATCTACCGATATTTACCAATAAATTAGCCATCCTCGGCCATTTTCAGTATTTATCAAATAACTATTTGACTTGTATGGAAGGAATACAACCTGTATGGGTCAAAATTGAAATTGTTTAAATATCTAGTTTGAAACACGGAATGTGTCTAATGATTGCCCCTTTTTTAATCCCCTTAACCAGTATAGGAGACCAGTGTGCCATTTCGTACAGTCGGACATATCTCTATACTGTAATATGTAGTAGCTCCATTAGTTTACATTTTGATATTAAATTCCCTCAAACTTTGCACAGAGTATTCCAACTCAAACAGGGCAAATCAATAACCACAAATCCAACATGTTAAGAATTTAAAAAAAAAATTATATCATGCTGATGAAAAAGTTTTGTATTTGAAGTGTTGCCAAACTAGTTACTGTGCTCCTGAGTTAGTTGGGTTTTTTTTATAAATCTATTGTAAATATTATTTTTCCATTTTCTTGTAAATATTTTTGTTATTAATCTTGATTTAGGTGTTTTAACAAACTTAGAAAACATAATCTGTGAGCTTGAGGCATATTGTACTGGCATCTACATATTCTGTTTTACAACGGTGTCTAGTCCATTTTTTCCCCTGACGATCTGTGATATTATCAAGGAATTATACTTAGGGCGTTTTTCGTGGTAGTATTAATTATGTTGGCAGTATAATAATTTAGTGGTTGTGAACCTTGAAAGCTTTAATTGTATATAGAAACGTGTAAGTTGATATTTGTAATAATTACTAGTATACTGTACTTTTCAATCATTTCATATATTTAGTCGTGTATTTTGTACATGTATATTAGACGCTGCTGAGTGAAGTTTGTTGTGTTTAAGTTTTACTGACGCGTAAATGGCATAAAATGTTAGATAGGAAAAATGATAGTATTTTATTTGCATAAGTACGATGCTGAATGGTTTTTTTTACATATATTAGCCGCGTCACGACAAAACCAACATAGTGGGTTTGCGACCAGCATGGATCCAGACCAGCCTGCACATCCGCGCAGTCTGATCAGGATCCATGCTGCTCGCTCTCAGTTTCATTTCTTGTTTTAGTGTTTGTAACCTGATCAGACTGCGCGGATGCGCAGGCTGGTCTGGATCCATGCTGGTCGCAAACCAATTATGTTGGTTTTGTCATGGCGCGGCTCATATTAACCACTGCTTGAGTGTTGTTTGAGCTAATGTTATGTTTTTAAATGTTACAGTATAAGTCTTCCAGCAATATAATATTGATGCATTGTTTTTCTTCTTAATTTTTGCAAGCTACAGTATGCACTTCTTAAGATATTTTCAAAGACATGATTATTTAAACTGTATTCCTTTTGTATTTTAGAAAAATGAAGAACCATTTAACATAACTCTGATACAATTTAGTTAACTAAAGTCATGTAGAAATTCAGAATAAAGCCAAACCTGTGCAAAAGGAACGGCTGTGCGTTAAAAGAAATCTGCCTTTTCAGAGGCTAAATATATATATAACTTCCTAACTTAAGCAATTAAAAAAGGCAAATGGTACCTGTTTAAAGCGACCAGGTATCACAAATGAAAGAGTGGTCTTTAAAGACCGGTTTGAATGTATTTGAAAACTTGTTCTTAATATTTTTTTTGCATGTAAGATTTTACTATTCTTTGAAATTACTAATATAATACCTCATTTTCTTTCTATTTTTTTTGTCATGACAACAAATTCATTAGTTTAAAAATTTTAAATGCATAACTTTTAATTTTTGAAATAACAAGTTTTACAATATTATTGTAAATAATATCATAGTTTTAGAGGTATTGCATTGTCCGTATACTGTCTCTCATTGCACTGTTTGCTTCTCATAGTTCTATACATTTTAATTTGTAAATCAGAAATTTAAAATGTATACAGGAAAAAAAAACACATTTACATTTTTGTTGCATGACTTTTCTTGTTTACTAAGTGGCCTAAATTTGACTTTTGTACTTGTATTATAGCCAAAATGAAGTTGTAAACATGTCTGAGGGCAAGACTCATTGTCAACACTGTTTTACATTATGGCCTACTCCACATGTGTGTGACAAATCGGACAATTGAAGGTCATATAAGGTCATCATCCGAAAACAGTGTTAGTTAGCTCTTGTAAACAACATACATGTATTGTATATAACAAAGGATTGAGTTTATAATGTAGACAACAGTGAACATGTTTTAATGTTTTATCTAGGTTTTTGATGAACTTATTGCACCAAATATCTTAAATAGACGTGTCCATCTTTCAGTCTGGACAAATTTTCAAATATGTACTGACTGAACAGAGGACAGACAGGGCAGGTCATGGTCAACATGCCGGCTTATCTTGGTCGGAACTGATGGCATTGCAATTGGTATAGATTCTGCCCCCGCTAGCAGCACACTAATGGTTTTGATGTGAACATGTTTATAATTCACTCATTCAATGTCAAAAGTATGGGAAGGTCAATCTGCAAGTATTTGCATTGTGCTCAGACTATATGGTATTGACCGACAGATTTCCGTATTTTATTTGTGATATCCCAACCTTTCATGGTGGACTAATCCAAAATGTCTGTTTTTGTTTTTTCAAGAATCAACAAGTTACATGCTTTAGAAAAGAAACGTCCGTGGAAAGTGTTTTCAAATTCTAGCCTGATAATATTTTGCTGTTAGTTTTTGAAGTACATGTCAACAGAAATACATTATGTGAGCATGTACATGATACACCAATTATGAAAAATAGTATTAATTATTTTCAACCTAATTTTTAGATATCATTATTCTCTTTCATTGCAGGGTTCTTTTTCCATAGTCATTGTTATTTAAATTTGTAAGTTTGAAGTATTGTATTTTTTTTGGTGTTAAGTCATATATGATCAGTGTTATGTATTTTATTTCTATATTGTAAGCATTAATTTTTTACTTTACACTGTTTTTTTTTAATAGTTTATCTAGTTAACACACGGGTACATAGGGAAAATATTATATTTTTTTAATATTACAATTACGTTGCGGTGGCAAATGAATCATATCATCCCAAAATCAGGAATGAACTTATAATACGAGAAAATGATATAGCGATTGCATCGATTAGTCATTGTTAACACTTAAAACACATTTGCTTAGATACATTACAGCATGAAAGAAAAATGCATTATTACTTTTCATCGAATCACGCGAACTTCATTCATTTAAGTCTTTTGCATTGTTGGTAATATTTTTCTCACGTTTCATAAATATTACATCGGTGCCGTCTATGCAAAGTAGGCTGAAATTATAGCAGGGATATCAATGGTGTCTTTTAGCGGTTACGCGAAATACCGGAAATAACTGGAAATACATTGAATAACTTGAAATACCGGTTACTAGTGAACACACTTAAAATGTATAACAATATATTTCAAAATTTTGTTATTGTATTTCTTTAATTGTAGGTGTAGGAATTATATTCTGAAAAAAGTATGTAAAATTATAAAGTAGCAAGTGGTTTCTGGTACTTTTTGGTGGTTTCCGGTATTATCTGATGCTTCCCGGTATTTCGTGTGACCCTCTTTTTCTGTATCGTCTGCCATGTCAGTATTGTAAATACAATGTATTTTCATTGTTTATTTTTCATTTATTTACATGCTGATCGCTATGTAACTTTGTGTTAAGTATTAGGGTTTTTTTTCTATTATATTTTTTCATGTACTGTAGTATTAAATTTTTGGTATTTCACAATGTTGCACATTCAATGTTTTTCAAACAATTTCAATACTAAAATACTAATTATTGTAATCAGTGTACTTAGAAATGCGAGTCTCATTTTTTGTGTTTCTGTATAAATTAGATAAATACAAAAAATGCAATAAAACAGAGCAACTTTCGAAGCACATGCAGAATTATTTCTTATTACTTTTTAATGCTATAAACGTTGCTTTGTGCTGCGTAACAGTGTTTATCTATTGCTATCTTATGGAATAAAGAGGACATTTTCATTTTAAAAAATGCACGTGTAACTATTAACAAGTTTTTTTAATGAAAATAATTTAAAATTCCATTCTTTTCTATCATAAAATGTTAAAATGTTAACTTAAGATACCATATTTACTGTATATACAATATCAATTTTGACATTAGCAATTTCCAAGATATTCTATGTTTAAGTAAATTTATATTTTATAATGAATTTAAAAAAAAGTTGTAACCCAAATAACTTTGCTTGGGTTATGCCTTATATATAAATTTTTTTTATTAAATCTTAAGTTTTGAACGTTGTTGCAAATATCAAAGGTGTATATACATTTACTTTTGTCATTTTCCTTTATTCTTTTATAAGAGCATATGTTTTTGCTGAAGAAAAAAATAATCAAGATGAAATAAGTCGACAATGAAGGACTTTTATGTAATGTAATGATAAATAAATAAATTGATTTTCCAAGTTTTATATTGTTTTTTTCCATTTTATTCAGTATTGCAATTCTTGCTGATATTTTATTATGAAATATTTTGAACATATTTCAGACTGCATGAAATTATTTGCACACAGCAGTATCCCCAGTCATATAGCAATGAAATTGACCGTTTTTTGCGACATGTAAATAAACCAACCAAATTTATAACCTACGTGTAGTAATCATTAAATTTTAGCTTTCTGTAACCGCCACAGCAATCTGTCATCACCATCACCGGTATTACGGTGTGGTGTTGGTAGTTTTCACTCCGGCTCACGACAGTTAGTCACACACTGTTCAGCCATCTTACCGGCACTAGTTGCTTTCACTTTCGCAAGGAACTGAAACTTCTGTACATATATCAGAGCCGAGGTATACTGAGAATAACCATAGATCAATCACAACGAAAGTGACCTGCACCGTCCGGGAATCGAACCCGAGTCGCCCGATTCACAGTCTAACGCTCAACCTATTGGGCTATCCGGACGGATTTTTGGTTATACGGTGTGGTGTAGAGGTGACTTAAAACCCAAACACTTTAAGTTACATAATATGTTCCAGCAAGAAAAAAAAACAGGATGTGAATATATTTGATATTATACTGTATTCTGTATTACCTATCAATTATTCGTGCCTTACAACATTTTCTTTCAATAAATCTTTAGCTAAATACAATATCCGTATAACGAATACTAGTATATGTGACAAGTTCTGTGATTTTTCTTTTATTATTTTAAAACAGGTTTGTCGGCTTTCTGTTGGATAAAATATTGTTCAAAATGTGTAGAAATACGGGAATAACAGATACACAAATATAATAAGATGGTTGTTTTAATGATAGGTTACTAAATAATCTTTTCTCGCAAGGAGAAGTGTCGTCATGGTTACAGGTTGGTTACCATGTCTACTGGCGATCAATGCGCCAGTGATTTTCAGTACAAGTAACGCTTTTTTTAAAACCTTAGACATCTGACTAATAGCATTTCAATCTGTTCTATGAATGTTCGTTTTAACAAAATGTATTTCTTCGTCAACAGTTTGTTAAATTAAATAAAAGTTATTGTTAATGGACGAAATATCTGATATTTAAGTTGGATGTTTGTGATTTATCCAAGGTTACAACATAAACTAGTTATTCCAGGATCCTCTACGCCGTTTTTCGCCGCTCTATGAAGGCTATTAAACACTTTTTCAAGGTCGTTAAGATTCATTGACCGAAGCTCTAAAAGCTTTTGCTGCAGAATTCCGGGGTCAACGCGTACATCCGGTGTCGTCTGCTGTCCGGTGTGCGGTAATGGCGTCGGTAAACCAGGGGAAATAACTGGTTTAGACGTTGATCCGTGTACTGACGAGTTCTCCTCCTTTAAACGGTTCAAATATTTGTCATAGTGTAAAAACTGTTCTAATAGATTTATTGTAAGGTTTAAAAGATACTCTTTCTCGTAGTCTTCAAAAGATGTTTCATTACTCTGTGTTTTATTAATAAGAATTTCAGGTGTCTCGTTTGTGTTGACAATGTGTCGTTTATCTCGGACGCCGGTTACGTCTTCAACTTGTGACTGGTCGTTGTCCGTTATCTGTGACACAATGACTTGATCTTCATCTGTAAAATATATAAGATATGTATAATAAGATTTTAAATAAGCAAGTACATAAAATTATAACATGAACTAACTGTGTAAACATGCATACCAGAACTCGTATAATACTGCACGTTTTATAACGTCGTTTTTAATTGGATAATCGTTACGTTAATATATAAGCTATATACACGGCTGCCGTCCATTAAAGATTTGATCTCATTTTTTTTCTCTTCTTTTTTTAAAGAAAAATAGATAAATAACAGATAAATACAAATTTCGTCTACAAGAGGATGGTTAAGTGCATCTGGAAATATACATGTACAATATTTCAAAATGGTTTTCATTTGCAATGGTCGATCTGCTGACGTCATTTACAATATTTCACAAGGACAAGTCATATTTTACACAACATTTCACCTAGACCGTCCTTCCTTACATAAAGTTGAAAGGGACCAAAATACGTCTTTGACTTTATAAATCTGATTTATCAAATCACGTGAGAATAGCCAGGTGTCCCCTTCATTGATAATTTCTATCATACTATATTAATATTTATCATACTATGTACAAATGCTCATTCATGTTTCAAATTTTAATCTCTATATTTCATTGTTAGTACAAAATACTAGTAATTGTACGCTTTTTCAGGTTGTTCGTGCCCTATTTTACCGTCCCCGCTAGGCAAGACAAGCGTTTGCAATGTTTTGTTCAATCTTGCAATTATGTTTCATCAAAGCATACAACATTATTTATTTAAATGTAATTCCGTATTGGAAATTATAAACACTTCTTGAATTATACAGTATATAAATAAAATTATATCACCAACAAAATAAAAGATGCATTTGTTTCAATGTTATGAATTTTAATTATCATAACTACTGAAGAAGCATAATAAAGCGAAACGTGTATTGATAAATTGTATTGGTTTGTAAGTCTTTCTTATCATACCATTTTAATTGTAACTTCTAACAAATATTTACGATTGCAATTATTATTAAAACAATTATTTAGGAAACATGTACGTTACCAAATAGCAATTAATTAGTAATTTTACAATGTTTGTCTAACTCGTGGTATAAAATTTAAATTGCATTTGTTGTCATCAAACACGTATTTTACGAGAAATAATATCTTAACAGAACAAAACCTAAATTCACGATTTTTCAAATAATCAGTTATGAGGCATCTTTTTATGAAAATGTAAAATCTGGTGAAGATTTTGGGGTTCAGCTTTGTTATGCAAACACCCAATTCATACTGTTTTTCACTTTCATGAGTAATTCTGATTAGATATTTAGAGAATCTATCTTAGGCATTTAAAAATGATATTGCAATGTGTAGAAAAGAGTATGAAATTCTAACAAATGCGATGATTATAATATACTTACTTGAATTTAAAATATCCGACTTGAGTCCGGTATTTCCGGGCGCTGGCATAGCATTTATTCCCGCCGTTATAACGAGCACGGTTGTTACCCATACCCTTTGATACATCAGCATTGTTTTGTTCTTGTAGTCGCACTTATAGAAATATGCAAATGTGTCCAAATGCTTTCGCGTTTTAACTTAACGAATAAACTTTTTTTTCAGAGAATACCCAGCATACAAAAAATCAAATTGTGATCATGCTCACTTTTGTCCAAAGCATTTCAAGCTTTTATAAGTTTGCGATGCAGCAAACTTTTGAACAAATACTTCAGTTCATTCAATATCGGTCCAAATATCTTTATGTCTTTATTCCAAATGTTTATCAATCTGTTTGTTATTGACAAATATTTCCGTTAACAAAATTTGTGCGCAGTTTCTTTCTATTATATTGTTATATCTTAGATTTTGAAATCAGAAATTTAATTAAAAATGATAGCGAGAAGATGTTATTATCGTTGACAATGGCACGAGTTTATGGCAGTACAAGGGAACTGAGGCCTACTTTAATACCTTTACAATGGCTAAGGTCAATCTCGTGAGTCGTCTGCTAATACGTAAGTGCATTGCGTACATAAACACACAGTAATTGAACTCGTCTTAACAACTAGAATATGTACTAGGCTTCTGCCGTGATGCAACAATTGTTGAGACCACATTTCATGCCGTGAGCTTCCGAGTATTCATAAGGTTGTTTGGCGTTGTTTTCGTAAAGTAACTAAATATAAACGGTGTGCAGTGGGTGGTATACGTATATTCACAGATAGCCGGTCACGAGAATATATATCACACCACAATGTTTACAAGTACAATCTGAAACACCTTTAACTGTTTGGGCAAAGGAAGTGACTAACTCATCCGTTGTCGCACATTTCAAAACCCGAATGTGTAAACAATCTTCATTCAAGAAAAATATATACTATTTTCATTGTAGCTGATAAGTTAAAAATAGCTTTTATGAGAATAAAAACCAAACTGGAGAAGAATACATTTTTTTCTTTTTTGATTCAAAACAGTATGAAAATAACACACACAAATCATTACTTATGTTTTGATGTTTTAAGGACTAAATAAATTTGACAAATTTCATAAGCTTATTTTAAGTACATTGACAAGCATTCTAGATATCTCACTACTTAGCTGTTGAATGTAGGTATTTTAATTTTAATTATTATGAATAAAGAGGCACTTTATAACTTTTATACTTCGTGTAATCACATTGATGCATCGAGTTCGTAATCATGAAATTTACCTTAACTTCGTGGCACATTATTCAATAATAGTATAATTCTAAACAATAATATTTAACTAAAAATAAAATAATAAATTTATCACAGTAGATATACTATCACAGAGTTGCTTAAAGTGAGATATTATGCTCATTTTTTCGCGGTGAAGTTGAGCTGAAATGCATGTAACTATTTATTTCAAAAGATTGACTATTATATAATAGTTATTGAACAATAATTGACAAAACAAAAAGTTCTAAGGATAAAATATTAAAACTGCCTGTAATGAAAAGACTTTCCCACCCTTTTTAAAAAATTAACATTATTCATACATTTAAATTACGCATAGAATATACGTACAGAATTTTAGGATAGTCACTTTATGTAAATGAAATTAAGTATGGCAAAATGTGAAGCTAATTTCACTTTTACCTGCATACTCATACTTACACTTGGATGGGCATAATGTGACAATGAGCATATTAAAAACATATGAGCCGCGTCAAGACAAAACCAACGTAATGCGTCTGCGACCAGCATGGATCCAGACCACCCTGCGCATCTGCGCAGTCTGATCAGGATCCATGCTGTTTGCTATCAGTTACTCTACTTGTAATAGTGTTGGTAAGCGAACAGCATGGATCCTGATCAGACTGCGCGGATGCGCAGGCTGGTCTGGATCCATGCTGGTCGCAAAACCATTATGTTGGTTTTGTCGTGACGCGGCTCATATATCTTCAGTCCTAATCTTATCATATTTATAAAAAAAAAGATTAAAATCTTTATTCAGTATTTTTAATGCCTACAAGTTTTCAAAAATATTTAAATGTCGCTATAGAAAAAATCTAAAGTGGACGCGGTAACGGATTACTGTTTCCTAATACATGTTGTATTATTATTGACTGCTCAAAATGTTTTTTTTTTCTACATGGCATTATTTTTGTTTTTGAGTTATGGAACGAAATATTTGTTTAAATGTCAATTTAAATATGATCACTTTAATTGCTAGATCGCACTTGCATGATGGCAAACAAATTAACATTAACATAAATTAAAATAATCCATGCTGTCTTAATAAAAGAAAAAAAAATTAGTTTCCTGCAGCTCATCCCACATGTGTTCTATCCCAAATGGCAATGGATTGCACCGTGTGCTTTTAATAAGATGGAAATGTGCATTATGCAGGTTTCAAACTCACTAGGTGTTTCCGGTAAAAGTAACACAAACGGTGACTTTAGCATCGATGCACTGTAGGAGCACATTTGTCTCGGAACACATTTGTCTTACGAAGTAAGACCGATGTGTTCGTAAACATTCATATTTACGACTAATTGGAAATGAGACAGATGGGTTCGACACACAATAGAAAGGACACTCGAAGCACATTTGTCTCACATATTTTCCATAAAATTCTGAAAAAGTAATGTAATCTGTATACCGGCTACCAGCCAATCTTCTGTGTTTTCTGTATATATAATACCGTTTGGAGGTCAATTCCGGTCAGTCAAAAACTTCCTGCCTCTGCATAGGAGTCATATATTAAATTAAAAAAATATCCCTGTTCTGCATCTCACAATGAAAATGTCTACAAGTGCAGCATCCAGAACCTAAACATATATGCAGCAAATCTAATCTTATCGTTATCAATTGTGATACGTCTATTTTCAATGCTTAAAGATTTTTTTAGATTATTTATGGCACTAGAAATATTCTTAGCAAAAACAAGGTAGTATCTACGGTGGCATAAAGGGGACATAGAATTTTCTTATTTATTACGTGCGCACACAATAGCTTTTCCGTGGCCACGTGATACTGTTAAATACCTATTACGTGCGTACTGCGTACTGTATTGCGCATTTGGACCCTGACCTGGATCCTCGCATGAATAGTTCGACGCCCCGTGTATGTGTCGAACCTACGGCGGTTAGGGGCAAGTGGTTTTTTGAAATCACTCGGCAACGGAGGCCCTTAAATGATCCATGGTAGAAATAAGAAGACCATTACACACGTATTTCGTTTTCATCAGAAATATATGTATAAAAAGTCGTCATTTTCCAAGAATTGCGGCTTTCAGATTCGCCATTGAAAAGACACTTACAACATGCATGAGTTCCTTAAATAATCCGGGTAATGCCATAATTATGGAATATCGGGCCACTCAGAATCGAGCGAGACGCGACATTCCAATGAGACACGAAGCGAGGCACGATATTGTAACAGGAGATCTCGCAATGTCGAAGTATCCCGTACCAAGAGATTTCAGAAATAAATAAATTTTTACTTCTTTAGATAGGACAAGTATGAATATTCAAATAATGATTTCTGAGGGGGTTAGATGCTTGTAACCCAAAAAAAATCGCGAAAAATGTGAAATAATCATAAAAGTAGCAAAATGTAAACAATGTAGTACTTTGACTTCAATACATAATTCTAAATCTCTTCAACTGTACAAACTGCAAAAAAGCAGCAGATGAAATATTCTTCAGATAATTAGCCAATGAGTAACGTTTTGGAGCTAAAAAGTATACCAAAGAGGAATAAAATAAAACATTTCTCAGGCATAATGGGCCTTTAAGTGATTTTATGTAGACTATAAAGGGAATACTACTTAGCGGTATATGACCTGGTCTCGCGTCGTCGAACGGGAAACGAAGCGAGACGCGAGATTTCGCGAGACGCGAGATTTCGGCGAAATGCGAAACGAGTCACGGTATTGTATCATTCAATATCAACCGATTATGGTGTTCCGTTTGGACATAAGTAACATTTTTGTCTCCCTGAACAGCTCTGCACAATGGTACAAAGGTGAAATTGAGATGGTACGATGATTAAAACACGATGGCACGATGGTGAAATCACGATGATGCGATGACACGATAGAGAAAATAATATCGCATTTTCATCATCATGCCATCGCAATTTCATCATATCGTACCATCGTATTTTCACTATCGTAACATCGTCTTTCATCATAGTACCATCACGTTTTCATCATCGAGCCTTCGTTGTTTCACCATCGTACAATCGTTGTTTCATCATCGTACAATCGTTATTTCACGTTCGTACCATTGTGTTTTCACCATCGCGTTTTCATCAACGTACCATCGTGCCATCGCGCTGTCACCATTGTACCTTCGTGAATGTGATTTAGTACGTTTCAGTGTAAGTCAATTAGAGATATTATAACTAATAGTTTACTGTAGGTTTTCATAAAGAAAGCATAAGCAAACCTATTGATGATTACACTTGAGGTAAAACGGCGAACCTCGATTCTAAAAAAGAATTTCTGCCGTGGGGAAATATGTGACAAATAATTCATAAAAAATGACATGAGACAAATGTGCTTTCTTGTCCCTTAAAAACACATGAGACAAATGTGCTTTCTTGTCCCTTAAAAAACTTGATCGGAGCACATTTGTCACACAAATAAGTTTTTTGGGGTAGACATTTGAGGTCCCATTTGTCTCATGTGGGACAAATGCGACCGCATCGGTCTTACGTAAGACAAATGTGCTCCGAGACAAATGTGCTCCTACACTGCTTGCTTATAACGTTCGATTTAATCAATTTCCTTAATTTCGTAGGGTTATGTATTTCAGACACCAAATGCACTGTTACAAAATGCTAAATCTTCCTTTCCAGAGTATTTAGGTATTCTAACGTTAAAAATATTTGCCATTGAATACACATCCACAACTGCTATAGTCATTTTGCAATTTCTACAAACTCATTTTTTTGTCTTGTAGGATAAACTAAACGATAAAAGTTATAGTTAAGAAGCAAATAAACCGAAATAGCTATGATTGCAAAAATTATCATTGGAGTTATATTCCAATCAAAATAAAAATTCGTGTATGTTTTTTCTTTTACATGCTCCGTCGATTCTGTTGTCGAGACTTTTGTTGAGAGAGTTGTATCATTTTCCCTTTTCTTGCTGTTGTTTGTGCTGCAATTATTTCCATTATACTGAAGGTTCTTTAACTTAGTCCCGTAAAATGTAAGCGATAAATGCTTTACTTGAATGTTACCTAAAGGAAAAAAAAGTAATCAGAAAAATAATAAATTAATAGCAAGAGGTTTTTGAGCTTTAACAATATTCCAAAATCTTAATGTCATATGATATAAACAGCATATTGGTCGGTTTAGCGCCACGTACTGTGCATGCGCGACTGCCATCTTGGATTATAGCTTAAATGACAATACGTACATTGTAATCTCTAATCGGTTTGGTTTTTTATATTATTTACGTAAAGACATAATCAAGTAGTGTGTATTATATAATAAATCTTATAAGACGTGTATTATAACAAACGTGATTAGAATACGATGGAAAAGCAAGACAAAAGAAAGTGTATTGTTTGTCAGATTATTTATATTACACGTGTATTATTAAAAGGACAAAAGGCGAGATATTATTTATAAAAAGTTGTTTTGTGTTGATTAAAAGTATAGGTAATGATTGCAAATTGATAGCAAATTTATAAGAAAACAACAAAAAAATCATCATGTAAAATTTGAATAAAATACACGCGTTATAATTATGTCTAATTTGAAGAACAAGTATGGATGAATTAATTGTGCTTGTAATGAATAATAAATATATCCCTTTTGAACATATTCGATTTTGTTAAAATGATAATACTGAACAATACTTATATCAGAAACATTACTTGAGTGAATCAGACTAAAATAACGTATTACTATGTAAAGAATCTAAATCTAAAAGAATTAGATATTTTTTTCACATTTTAACAAATTCATCTTTTAGTTACGTCAACTTATATTTCAGTATTTTATATATCAAAGTACAGTGGAACCTGTCTTATCAAAACTCGTCCAGACCAGAAGAAAAGTTCGGATTAGAAAGGTTTCCGGATTATATTTTTTTTACATATTTGTACATGTTAAGGCAGAATAGTTAAAGGAAAGAAAACGGGAATGCATATGAAATTGCAACATATTTTATACTTGCAATCTTTTATTTTTCATTTTGTTATATGTGAAAACAAACCAAAATAAACAAAATGTTATGTCCTAAAGGGTAAGTTAAACAGGAGGCTGAGAAATGATTAAATATTCGAACCTATTTGTTGTTTTCTCTTATCCGATTAGACGATTATCCGAAAACACTGACAGTTGCCATTTATTTCGGTTATTTAATCCAATGTCATTAAATTCATTACAAAAGATTAAAAAAATATGTGTATGCATAATATCAAAATATTTATTGAACCAATCAACTAAGCAATTATAGTAGTTATCGAGGCAAGATAAATGTTTTTTTTTTTTAAATTACCTTCACAGATCATACGTTTCACCCATTAATCGAGCGAATTTACACATAATAGTCTTCAATCGGAACGTCCTCAGCTATTATTTATAAAAACCTCGGATTAAAAATAGTTCTTACACGTGGTTTCAGATGTAAACAGAGTCAGAGACTGTAATCTTCGATAAGGTAAAACGAATGTATATACATGTATTTGACATCCAAACGAAGATAAAGTCTGAATATGTCTGACAACTATTTTTGATTTAAATATGACCACTGATCTACAATTTTGAACAAGTCTGACTTAATGTCAACAGGTTGGCATTTTGTACTTCCGGTTTCTACAGCCATAATGATAAACCTTTAAATAATGTGTTTGCTTTTGTATCTATGAATTTATTTTTAAGGCGAATTTCAACTTGATATATTGGAAAAAAACTTGCCAATAATTCCCAGCATTAAAATACTATTTGTTTATATGTATAGTTTCCTAACGTAGGTTAGACCGAAATACCGTATCCATTCTGTGTATTCATACTCCTTATCAGAAGACTGACGGAAAAGGCCGAACAATTGTGATTGAATAGCCTTATCAGTTTGGTGTATGTTTACACCTGCAAAAAGTGCGATTATTTTTTATTTTGCTGTGTGACAATCAGCAATATCTGTCCGAATCGGGAACTTAATTTTAGAGTAAAACAAGAAAATAAAGTTTCCTTTTAAAAGGAAAGGCTTGCTCAGTTGTGCCCTCATCCCTTCTCTTTACAATTTTTTTGTTTCAATTTATTATCACGGTTTTTTTTTAATTACGGCATTTGTATATCAGAAAGGGTTTATTATGTTTTTTCTAGAAAGAAAAAAGAGTTTCACTTTTAAAGGGATAGGTAGGGTAAGTCCAAGACTGGACGAGCACCTGTGCCCATTTGTCTGAGCACCAGTGTTATGCGTGTAAATTTGGACCAACTAGGGACCAGAAGTCCACTGATTATAACTGAACGGGAACATGCTGACGATAACAGTAGCAACTTTTTTTGTAAAAAACGAATATTTTTTTGTCAAACACGATTCGAAATCTATTCTCTATTGTATAAAACTAATGAAGAAAATAATCAATCGTAAAAATACTAACATTGGCTCTCACGTGGAGATCAATCTATCATACCGAAGGGAAACAAGTGTGCACATTTCATTTCCACCTTTTTCGCAGATAGAGTCATTCGTTTTGGCAGTTGCTAATTTCATTTATATAGCAGCTAATGCACTAAAAGACTTTGTTACGTGGTATCAATTAATAAGCATGTATCAACTATGTTACACCTAAAATATCTATGATCGACAACACAGGAGATCAGCACGTGGTAAGATTAATGATATGCATGGGCTATTTTTAGATTACCTCACCAAGACGTTTAAACTCTGTCAGTAGATCTAAATATAACTTGATCATGCACTTATATTCTGCGTGATTCGGTCACGAACTTTTGGTAAGCAGGACCGCCCTTGGAGACGGAATACTGCTACAGTAACCATTCTCTATTGTATAAAACTAATAAAGACAAAAACCAATTATAAAAGAAACTAACTTTTGCGTCTTGAAAAAGAATTGAAACGGAATCAAGTAAAAATAGAAATCCTATTTATATAAACAAACTGGGATTACCGAAGTAACTAAAACAGCTAAGATTTCCGTAATATTTCTTCGTCTGATTCCGCAGTATGACGGAATAGCCCGAATTGTCACAATTGCAATCGGAACTAACTCGGCTATTATCATTAATCCGCAGAGTGACGGAAAGGCCGTAAAGTTGCGATTGGCATGATTGCAGCTGGTTTCCCGTTCAATCATGCACTACCAGATGTAAGCAGGAAACCACCTAACCGGAACAACTAATCCAAAACAAATGGCTTGGCTGCAAGCCAAAAATCGACCGGAATTCGGTGTAGACAGGTTCCGGATTACTATTGAAAATAAAATCGTGACCGGACAATTAGGATAAGAAAGGATTTGGGATTAGAAGCGCGCGAATAAGTAAATATATTTCAGCAATAACTTAGTTTTAAAAGTATGAACAATTTACTAGATTCTCTAGATATAGATTTATTCATCCAGTATTTTTTTCAGAATCTCCTTTGTATATGTACACGTTTTTACGTACGTTATAGTACGTACGATTACGTGTAGGTAAACCCAACAAAAACCACTCAAATTTTCTAATGAAAATAACATGTCACAGAGCTTTAAGGGATTAGAAAAAACGTTTAACTAAAGTGATAGTGCCAAGTTTGAATATCATATTTATTTTTATCATTATCTAATTTTATCTACCTAGTAAATAACGTGCCAATGAGCCAGTCTATAGTCGATCGTTCTAAAACTTAACCGTTGAGAGAGGTAATGACTGGGGCAGTGTCACTCACTTCATTTGCTCCGCATCTGTTGAAGTTTGGCTCCGCCTAAAATTGTCGCAAAATTTAATATGATGCTCCGTATGCTAGCATTTCGTCCTTGTTGACGGGGCGGAAGGGAACGAGGACAACTTTGATCAATATCACTTGTCGAATCATTAAATTACAAGTTACAAAGCCTAAACCACGCCCACTATCAGAGAGGCGGTTCTCCCTCAACCGTTAAGAAAGTACGCCAAACTCTGCACCGGTAACGCTACGGTCAGTAAGGGGAGACCACTGCAGAACAGTTCGTCCTCAAAATCCTCCGAACATTATGCAATTCGCACCAATATTTAAATAAACATATTCGATGCACATATTGTCTTGAATTCATTTTCAGTATACCAATCATTTCAATTTTACTTGTTATTCAATTTATTTTGCTACGACCAGACGTTTCAATATTTTGCGCAACAGACACACATTTCAGAATTTCAGACATGGCATGACTTTGTGAATTTATGCAGTAGGTTCTACTTTTTCACAAATAAAAATGCAAATTAATTATGAAACAATGAGCACATAACAAGAACATGGAGAAAAAATTGATTTGTGCTTTGGATATTCAACTGTAATAGAGAACCATTTTCAATGCTTTTGACTGTTCACATCATTTGGCGGCGTCTTTGATGTGCAGTATCAACATTTAACTTGTTTTGATTGATTTAGGAATGACGCTTTCTAACTGGTTAAGTCAATAGTTTGGACTTTTACGCTTCAAATTCAAATTTAACCCAAATCACAATTTCATACATATTTATACTTCAAATTAAATCTAATTATAACGCTTACAGTGTATTCAAATCTGACATAATGATTACTTTTTCATAAAATTGCTTTCATTATCTATACTTTTAATCAACACGAATCAACAATACAACTTTTCGTAATATATCTCCCCTTTGACATTATTATAATACAATTCTAAAATGAATAATCTGACTAAAAATACACATTTGTCTTGCTTTTCCGCCGTACTCTTATCCGCTTTGTTATAATACGCGTCTAATAATTATTTTAATTATAAAATACACACTACTTGATTACGTATCTACATAACTATTATAAAACCAACCCAACAAGAGATTACGCATTGTCATTCATGCTATTATCCAAGATGGCCGCCTCGCATGCACAGAACGTCGCACCAATATTTTTAGTAAATAATTCAATAAGTTTACGAATTGTTTTATTAGGTGTTTCATTTCTTCTACAGCTTACTATGAACGCATGTAAACATTCAAAGGGCTTACTTAGCACACAGTCTCTTACAAAAAGTCTTAAAATGTCACAGTAAAGTTCATTTTTATTGTCATGGTAATCATTTTAGCGACAGGGTCACAAATCCATTCCTTCATTCATTTTGATTCCACTGTGTTAGAAAAAATCAAAGTATGTTCTTCTTTAAAGATCCTGTAACACACTTTTTTCATGGTTTTATTTCATAATTATGATGCTCAAATTAAGATTTGTCAATAATGTAAGTTCAAATAAGCATTATTTATAAAGATATTACCGAACTAATTATTTCATGTAAATAAAGGGAGGTAATTAGAAATTTATTTTCTATAAATTCCAAGTCAAATTTTCCAATAAGAAATGAATGCATATAATTTATTAATTAAATATAATGTGCAAAAATATTTGCAGTACACATTTTACATTTCTTCCATTTTTGAAAATTGTTTTATTTGCATAATTATATACATATATATTTTTTGCAAGTGTGGTATACACACAGTAACAATATCAATCACAAAACATACAGGATCTTTAATGTAAGATAACAACATACTTGCTGAGTGTTTATCCTGGACATGTAATAGCCAAGTACCAAATGGTTCCTCGTCCCAGAAATGACAGGATAATAGTCGAAGTTTCTTTACATTCACTGACTTGCCCTTTAACAAAATTTATTGCAAACATAATTTTAGTTAACTTATTTTGGTACAATTTTTAAGCAATTCAAAGGCACTAAAAAGAATATTATGTCTTCAATACCATACATAACTTATTTTATCTATGGACATTTATTGCAACGATAACAAACTACAAAATGAGCAAGGTACAAACTGAGAAAAAAACGTATTAAGATGTTCATGGTTCTTTTTTTTTGGTTCAGTTTTTGTTGCCGTTTTATGCTTTTTTACTCTTGATGTGCGCGTGTGTGCGCGCGCGCGCGTGTGTGTGTGAGTGTATGTGTGTGTGTTTTGTTTTTTTTTTTGTGGTGTGGGTTTTTACTGTTTTTTGTGTGTTGTTTTGTTTTTAAAGGATAGGGTTTCAATGTTCTAGTTATTGTTTTCTATTAAATGAAAACTTTGCCATTTGACGGACCTAAAGAGAAATCCGTATAAAAATGAACTAAAACTTACTCTTTTAGGTTTAAAATCCATTAAAACTGATGTCGTTCCTCCAGGAGATGTTATTGCTACTTTTATTTCAGTTGATATTGCTTCAAGATCCATTTGAACTTCGACATACTCTAAAATAGTTGGACATTCTAACCCTTGGCATTCATAACAAAACTCGAACGTCTGTGTGTGAGCTTTGGGTGTTCTTCAAGGAAAAAAAAGATAAAAGTGTGCATTTACTTTAACTAATACACCATACGAGTATATATCTCTACATGTTTTTTCTAAATGTGTGCATGTATCACATGCACAAATACGACTCGACATGAAAAAAAATCCGTATCATATTTGAGTGGAGAGTCATCTGGATTGACATTGCTTGCTTTTTGCCAATTGCATTATGGCAAGGACTATTTTGGCATGACGGCACTAAAACGATTATATTATTCGAGATCTTGATACCATATGATGTATGTCTGGACCAATAACTTGTTTGCAAAATTTCAGATCATTCGCTTTCTCCTTTTTTCCTGAATAGTCATTTTTATTGTAAAAATGACCCAAAAGCTTAAAAGCAAAAATGCCTATTATCGTTTTGAATTCAGAGTATATTTCTATTGCCTCTTTGCCCATTTTGGTGGCTTTCTTGACCCAATTGAATCTGCAAGAATTCTAAAGTTTACGTTATTAAGCTTTTTGACCTCAGTGGAGCTCCTTTATGGTTAAAATGTAGTTGTTGTTTTTTTTAATTATTTTAGAAATATAACGGTTATAGGAGTATATTTATCTATTATTGCTTGCATTTGACTCTCACGGATTTTATTTAAACGGATCACAGTCGGTTCTAATCATCAATCTTAGCCTAGTCTAATCTACTCGAGTCAAATACAAGTTCCAAATCAAAACACTCCTATCATATCCTATTAACATCCACATATCTTTCGCTACTCAAAGTGATATTTTGCTTTTTTCATATCTAAATTGAGTTGAATTGATTATATATTTCAAAAGATTGACTGATGGTGACGATCTAACAGTTGATATTGAAAAAATCGGATAAAAATGAACCTGCTTCAAACATAAAAACTAGTTGCTCTTTTTAAAGATTGAACCTTATAGGTTTTTCCCGATGGAAATTTATAGATATGTCATTGGGTCACGTGTATTAATCGTTCATAAAATTAAAAGGAATTTTGCAAAATGTTAACTTATTTTGAATTTCTACTGTCCAGGCACTATAACCCTTGGATGGATATAATGCCACTTCAATGTTACCTTTTTCAACAAAATATTGAAGATCAAACCATAATTAATGTACAATCATATTTATTACTTTATAAATTTTGTAAAAATAAAAAAGCATTGCAGCAAAATCTATGAAATTGCGAAAAAAGAAGATTTTTTTTTATTCTTGACATACCTGGCTATGTGCGACAGGAGCTTCTTCATGAGCAATTCAGGTATTTGACGGTGTTTTTGTGCATTTTTAACAAATTTGTCGGCATTTATAAGACCAAAACCAAACACACCATGAACTGTAGATATAAACATAGGAAAAATTTGCAAATGACGATCCTATATTTATTCCTGTCTGGCAACTTTGTAGTTCCAACTTTATATCTAACTAATTCAGTAAACAAATTTTATATTTCTAGACACTATGCTTTGGTTTGATACCCTGAAAACAAACTAAATCGAATCAAGATGGATGCAACTTAACATAAGATTAATAAAATGTAAAGTTTGAAAGAAATTCATGTATAAAATACAGGATATAGTCACAGGAGGACCCATTAATTAGTAACAGGGCGTTTGGTTTTTGAATTTCGTGTTTGTCTTCTTACGTCAATCCAAGGCGGCAACACATATATACTTTGAAAGTCACAGAAACCTTATCACTGCATTATAAGCAAATCATTGTAATAAAATCTCATGCACTGTTTTTATAATGCCTGAAGTATAATAGAAACTGGCGCTAAAAGCATATATAATTTTACTGTTATACTGATGTCAAAGTGAAGGCTCTTACAGTATCTTCCAGCTGCATTCTTTGTAAATGCGATCCTCTCTCGTAGCTGTCTGTGTTCAGAAGACTGAACAAGAAGATGTTGGATATCCCTTAATGACAGTTCTTTACTAGAGAAAAAAAATCTACATCACATCTCAAAAATTGAAAAAAAAAATATCTTTTCATTTCACCAAGTTGCATGAATCAGTATACATTTGTATTTAAAAGCATACTATTTCGTCTGGATATTATTGCTAAAGGCGATGGGGACTTTAAAGGTTCTACTTTAAGTAAAAAGAATTCCAGGTTCATGACATTGACTTTGTACTCGCCAAAATGGATATCATTATTTTACTGTAGTATATTAATATGAACACAATTCATCATTCTTTTTACACATTATTTACAAATCTTTTAAATTCTAACCAGACTAGTTTCATTTGTCAAAAGTTCATGATGTAGCTAATTTTGACATAGTGATAACGGTATATATGATAATTATTTTAAGAGTTGGATTTTTACTCCTGAAAATTATTACTTAGCTTGTAGGCCCAATCCTATAATCGCCGCTATTTGGGCTGTGGCAGCAGAGATGCCGTTAAATCCAGTTACACATCTGTCTTCCAAAGTCGTCGTGACCTTAAATTTTTACAATCATACGCATATTTATGTTTGTACGAACTCGTATGAGGAACTATAACTGCACTAAACCTTTATTCAATGACAATATTGAATTTATTGAAATCATCGAAGTGAAACATAGGTATCTTAATGCGAAATGAACTTTTTCAGCTACACATTTTGCAGAAAGAACATTGAGTTTGTTTGTTTGTTTGTTCGACTAGGTTTTATGTCACATCGACACAGTACAGGTCATATGGCAAAGTTCCAGCTTTACTAGTGGTGCATTATTTCAGGTACGAACGGGTACCTGAGTAGGACCACCGAGTTTCCGTTAGCTTACTTGATAGCTTCCTCACATGAAAGAATCTAAAGTCCCTGTCGAGATTCGAACCCACAGAGGTGAGGGGCAAGTGGTTTGAAGTAAACGACCTTAACTAATCGGGCATAGACGCCCCAGCAGGAATAATTAAGATATTATTACCATTGAGGAAGATGTGAGGTTGTTTCCTTCACCAAGTCCAGACGTCAATACACTTGCGTCTGTATAAACATAATCCGCAATTATTCCATTTCTACCGACACTGGATACTGTGACTGTGTGAATATTGTTAGAAAGTTCGCTTCCTGTAGGACCAGACGGTACAACATAAATAGTACCAAGACCATGCCGACCCTTAAAATGAACAGCATTTACTTTATATGTATTTTTAAATATTGCTGATAACTATGAGAAATGTGCCGAACAGAAAAGATAACACGGTTGAAGTTTTCATACATACATGTACATTGAAAGGTATAAGTGTTTTCTTATTTATTCAAAGATTGCAGGATCTTACGAAATGATAAAAAGTATGTTTTAAAAAAATTGGGATTATTGGTCTCTTTCGGGGGGGGGGGGGTAGAATTTTTTGCCCTTAAATAAGAAAATCATTTAAATTCAAAGGCTAACTCAAAAACGAGATCGGCGTCTCCGTTTTTTCCTTTTAATTAAATGTTTCTTTTATCATATTGTATGGTACTGCAATACTTGAATAGATTCTGTGAAACTGTGATACAACAATAATGGTGAACATTTTAGGTAGCAATTGTACCATATTGACCCAGGGAATGTCATGTCTCTACAATAATTCGGATGAAACTTATAAAAGGGGTTATAGAACAGCAATTTCGACGAAGACAGTCCTGTTGTAAAAATGAAGCTGAAGACAAGTTACGAGTTAAGAATACATGGCCCCCGCAATATTGTTTTAAAAGACATAATTATAAAAGAATTTTCTATAAACTCACGTGGATGGCCCCATGACTTATCACATCTTTTGTTGCTACATCTAGTTTGTCAAATGGTGAATCAGGTGCCCATGCATTTGCAAATATGTCAATAGTGTTAGGTTTGTAGTTAAGTGCCCTTGAAATAACGTCAGAATCCGACCAGTGTTTCGGTTCTAGTTCCAGTAAAGAAGACCCGATCAGGATCACCTTGAAGATCTTTAGCGCTAGCAAATAGTATGAGCAATACAATACAAAACAATACAATACAAAACAATACAATAGGACAAAACATCCGAGCTGAGACTGTTGTAAGTGTGGGAAACTACAATGTACAATATGACTCGGCACATAGTTTTCTATAACATTTAAACAGTAAACAAACAAGAAAATGGCTATACAATACATCTATTTGGATAGGGTGAAGACAGTTTTTACCTATAATGGTAGCGTTGTGTGCTATTCCTGCGCTGCATCTGTTATTACCTTTAATAGCACCTATAATACTTGCCATCTTGTTACCGTGACTAAAATCAAACAAAAGCAACATAACACAGCGTTAACAATAACAAATTATATCAATGTAATTGTATAAAAATGAAATACTATCAATGGAATTGTATAAAAATGAAATACTATCAATGGAATAAAAAAGAAATACTATCAATGGAATTGTATAAAAATGAAATACTATCAATTGAATTGTATAAAAATGAAATACTAACAATGGAATTGTATAAAAAATTAAATAACATCTCAATGGAATTTTATACGATGAACGACAAAAGCATCAATGGAATCGTATTTAATTGAAAGAACAAAAATTGAATTGTTTAAAATATTTAAATATCATGAATATAGCTGTTTAAAACTAAATTGTCATAAATAAAATCGTATGACATACAAGTTAACTTTATATTATAAATATATGAAAAAACATTTATCTATTTAGATATATGAAGGATGGATCTAAAAGCTACAGAATTCTTATTCTGATATAAAATGCACTGTACAAACGTAAATAACAGAATCTCTATTGTTTATTGTTTTACAGTTTATACATACGGCAAGCATAACCTTAGAATATGATTTTAAAATTTTCATAATACGGTATCAAATTAGATTTAAGCCGATTCCACGCTGTCTTAATAAAATAGCAACAACACAATTATAATGCTTTGATGAAAAGTTATTACAATAAGATTTACATACTCTGTAAAAAAAGCTGCCCCCCACGCTGCCTTAATAAAATAGCAACAACACAATTATAATGCTTTGATGAAAAGTTATTACAATAAGATATACATACTCTGTAAAAAAAGCTGCCTTTTCAGGAATGTTGTAAAAAAATTCAGGTGTAACATTATCGTTGTTGTCCACAAAATTGAAACTAAGCGTTTCGTTCTTAAAAAGAAAACGTGAGCAAACTATAAACACCCAAAAGTGGAGGAAAAAAGCACAAAAGCATCACGAGTGCAAATAAAAGAATATTTGAAAATGACAAGTGAATAATTGAACACAGTTATTTAAAGATACATGTAAAAGTTAGAAACAAAGACAACTATCTAAAACATAATTAAAGGTATATGAAAAAATAAAAATAAAAATGACAACTATCTAAAAAGGGCTACAACAAAGTGAACTGCCTGAAATGATGTTCCTATACATAGAGTATGAAAAAAACACTATTTTACAAAAGAAAATTCTCGACTTTTACATCTCTTGCCAAATATGGCAGCCATATTGGCGATCTATTAAATGATATGATCTCTGAATATTGCCAACCCCTCTCGCGGGTGTTATAAGCAGGAATTAAGTGCGCGTCCGATTGTTAGTAAAATGTGAAGGAAAAGCAAAATAGTCCAAGCATCATAAACATGCTAGGAAGGTGAGACTGGAAATGTATTCTAGTCATGGCTAAATGTTAATAGTGAAAGAAGAAGATGAAATAGTTAAAAACACTGGGAGTACGACTAGTACTGTAACCCTACTACTGCTCGTTTAAATAGACTAAAGTTTGACAGGGTGACAATGTAGCTACGGAGTTTATTCTTAAGTACAATGCTATGAGGGAATAAAGAGTACTTATGGTAGTCGTATGGTAGAAAACCTGTATTTGGCGTAGGGATAGGGGTGCATATTTCGGATTGAACTATTGGGGTATTGGGTAGGAGATAAGTTGCAACTAGATTATGGTATATCTTACATCTTTTAAAATATATTGAGTAAACAGTCCAGTCTTCGATGTTCAAGGGATCGCCAGCCTAGTTCTTCATACATAGCTGTGGCACTGAAGAGAGGGGAGTTAACCCTTTTAACTCATTGTATTGCACGTCTCTGGAACATATCAACTTTGTCAATAATTGGTTTAGTGTACAGAGAGACCAAAAAGTTGATGCGTTTTTAACCTGTGGCCGGAAGACCGACTTGTATGCCAGCTCCTTCATTTTTTTTTGTAATTTCATTCCTTATAAGAAAGCGAAGGGATTTGTTTGCATTTGAAGTTATTTGAATACATGTGTAACATTTAAGGTCAGCAGACAGATGTAGTCCAAAATATGTATCCATATAGCATTAGAGACCGATTCAAGGTCTAAGGTTTTTAGATTGTAAATGAGATTGTATAAATTCAGTTTGATACGAAAAAACGGTTGCCAACAGCAATCATTCTCAAAAGTATTAAGCCTCTCCAATAATTGGCAAAAATTAATTTTTCGATATAAACAGCTCCTTTATGGGAAATTACAAATTCCTTTATAATATGAAGGAAAATATAATTATAACACCAATATGCAAAAGATTTACTAGTTTTCAAGGAGATGAATTTTAAGAGATTTTTATCTTATATTAAGCACAATATATTAGGAATGACCCTCAAAATGACAGTCAAGAGTGGTTATGATTGCTATATGACAAACAATGCATATATCTCAAGTAATTGAAATATTGAGAGAGCGAAAAATATTTGTACATTATGATAAGCAAAAGGAAATTATTAATGGAATAATGGGTATGAAGATATTATAGTTTTTTAAAAAGGTAAAATGGATAAATTAGTCACGAATAAACCAAATTTGGAACTTTGTACGAAAGTGAAAGTTTGCTACCAAATTGTCCTTCAAATCAGAAATATGAGTGTTTATTCCGACGTCTGTTATGGCAATTGTGATCCCATTTCCGTTATATCCACGTGACCACACCTTCTCCACTCCCATTCCATAGTAATGTTCACAAACAAGATTAGTCTGCAATGATACAAATACAGGTACTTTTAATGTAAACTTAATAAAAAATAAATTATTTTTCTTGTGAAAAGAACAAGAGCTATCACGCAAGTGACGAATGCCCCCGAAAAAGTTCTTAAGCATGCAGGTATAATGAAAAGAAAAGAGAAGGAAGTAACGTATTTCTTAATATTGTTCTTGTGAAATGAAGTGCTATTTATAGTACACTTAACACCTTGGGACAAGGGTCTTGGATGCGACACATCATCTTGATGTGGTAGACATTTATTTCAAATTATTCAAAATCCTTCTATGCATGACAATGTAACAGTTTGGAAATTATTAGAGTGACCTTGACATTGGAGGTAGGGACATGGGTCTTACAAACAACCCGTTATCTTGATGTGGTAGACATTTGAGCCAAGTTATTTTAAAACTCTTCAATGCATCACAAAGTTATAGTCCGGACACGAATGTTTGTACCTATAATTTATATCTGTGATAGTGTGAACCTTAAATATATAAATGTCACCTGGCCTTTAAATAAAGGACGTGGTTCTTGGACGCGACAAACCGTTGTCATGTGATAGAAGTTTGTGCGAAGATATATCAAAATCCATCTATGTATGACACAGTTACAGTCTCGACATGATTGTTGTGTTAGTGGGGACGCTCAAACGGGCAGACGGACATGGACCTTAGCCGCGACACATTGTCTTGATGTCGTATATATTTGTGACAATATATTTTTAAATCCTTCCTTGCATGACAAAGTTACGGTCCGGGCAAGATTGTGCATCTTTAAAATCTTCTCGAGAGAATAAGTACCTTCAAAAAATAAGTGTGACCTTGACCTTTGAGGTAGCCACATGGGTTTTGGACGCAACATGTCGTCTTTATGTGGAAGACATTTATGCCTAGTTTTTTTAAATCCTTCGATGCATGACAAAGATACAGTACGGACATGAATGTGTGTACCTATAAACACTAATTGTGATAAAGTGAACCTAAAAAAGGAAGTGTGACCTTGACCTTTGAGGAGGGGAAGTGATTTTTAAACACGACACATTGTCTTGATGTGGTAGACATTTATGCCTAGTTATTCAAAATCCTTCGATGCATGACAAAGTTTCAATCAGGATACAAATATGTGTACCTATAAACTCTTATGGGGATAAAGTGAAACTTTAAAATGTTTGTGTGACCTTGACCTGTGATGTAGGGTCGTAATTTTCGGACGCGACACATCGTCTTGATGTGGTAGACATTTATGCCTAGACATTTCAAAATCCTCCGATGCGTCCGGATAACGTGAAATAAATTTAATGTGACCTTAACCTTTGAGGTAGGGACGTGATTCTTGAACGCAACACATCGTTTTTATATAGAAGACATTTATGTCTATGTCACAGGGTCAAGTATACATTGTCCGTAATGCCAAGTGCTGTATATTTTTGGTCTGTTCGTGACCATGCCTGTCTCTGTATATTTATATTGTAACAGATCGATTTTTCGTTAACTTACAAAAAAATATAATTTGTTTACTTTTACACAACGCTTTATTTCATGGAGGCATCCATTTTGATTGCCTTGCCAAGTGCATTATATAAGAAGTGATTTGATTGGCTCTTATCAATTATAATAAACGAATCGATTTTTATATTATCTTTATGAATAACAAATCAATTGTTTGTTTCTTGTCTGGAAGCAAATAAATAGCCGAAACTTGTCATTGTTCGGTGCTGTACCGTCTAGGTCAGTACAACAAGGCTCAAGCCTTGACTTTAAATAAAGACTTCGGTCTTAGAGTAAACACTTTCAAGTGTTAATTTAAATCGACTGTTTCTATCAATTTATTCATAAAGCTGTACTAATCATAAATAGGAATATTAAATTTATTTTGAACTTATTTAATAAACTTTCATTTTCCCCACTAACACACTAAACAATTGGGACTTAATTAAAAGATTGTTGTTTTTTTTAATTAACTTAGTTGTTATTTGTATCCCAACAACAAATCCACAGAATACATGTTCCTTATTACGGCCAAATTGTGATCGCTATATGTCCAAACGAATCTCATTTAACCCATTGCTTCATGAGCATTTTGTGAAAAATGGCTGTTTTCATTGAAAAGTCTCCCGTTACAAGTTCAAATTGCTATAATACTATAAAAACTGCTTCAACACTAATCAAACTTGGCACAAATGTTGACTGGACCATTGTCCTTGCAACAACATGCTCAGGCTTAAATTTTCTGTTACCATGGCAACGAGGGGACATCTCAAAATTGCCAAAAATCACTATTTTGCGTTGATTTTTTCCATCAAAATTGATTTCAAAGTGCTGCAACTTCTCAATGGATTGAGATAGAGTCAAATGCTTTTCAGCGTTGGTTACACGTTACCTTATGATCAATCTGGGGTCATTTACAGCCTCTCACAAGTCCAAATTTTCTTGGCGATGAGGGGGACTCCGCCCCCCTTCAAACCCCCCCAAACAGAAGGGGGCACATCCCCCTTCTGGCAACCCCCTGATGTATCTTTTGGTTGGGGGGCCGCGCCGAAAAAGGGTCACTTTTTTTAACAACATTTCTCAAACAAAAACAAGTGTTTAGGGCCTAAATAAGGCATTTTTTCATCATTTGAGACAACAAAAAGGGGGGGGGGGTGAAAAAGGCGTTAAAAGGCGTGTATATGAAGTAATGGGTTAAAACTGCCACTATTACAATATGTTAATGTCCATGTCCCTTATTGTTTTCCGTAGTTATTTCTTTAATTCATATACTCATAGCTCATATCTCATTTCCAATAGCCGTTACCTATACATAATAGTACATTATAACCTTTTCAATATCTTCGATTAACTTTTCTCGCTAATATTTCAATTTCCCTGCTAATCTGCACAACGCATGCGCACTTGAATTGAGAAATTGTTCGCGCAGGCCACGGTTTTGTTGTAGTGTAGAATAAATATTTTGAGTAGCGCATACTTGTCTTTTTACATGTAAATAGACTTTTGCAGATGATGCTATTATTTTTCATATATATTTTGCCATTCATCGATTATTGTGATTTTCATATTTTGCACTTGAATTGAGAAATTGTTGGCGCAGGCCACGGTTTTGTTGTAGTGAAGAATAAATATTTTGAGTAGCGCATACTTATGTTTACCCAAGGTCCAGAACTCACAGCAGAGTCAACGAGCCCTTTGTTTCGTTTGAACTGCGACATCTAGTTATTTAAAAGTCCTTCGATGCATGACAGAGTTTGAGTCTGGACACAAATGTGTGTTCCAATAAACTCTTATTTGTGATAAAGTGAAACTTCAAAATGTTAGTGTTACCTTGACCTTTGAGGTAGGGACGTGACTCTTGGACGCGGCATATTTTCTTGATGTGGTAGGCATCGAAGGATTTTATGCCAAGTTATTCTAAAATCCTTCAATGCATGACAAAGTTACATCCCAAACACGACTTTGTGTATCAATATACTCCAATTGTTATCAAAATGTTAATATGACCTTGACCTTTGCGGTAGGGACGTTATTCTTGGACGCGACACATCGTCTTGATGTGGTTGACATTTATGGCTAGCTATTTTAAAATCCTTCGATGCATGACAAACTTACAGTCTGGACACGAATGAAATGGTGACGCACAGACAGACGGTGCGATTTTAATATGCCGCCCTTCGGGGGCATAACAATAGTATCTATTCGACGTAAGTTCATTGTTCAAAAGCAAAAATGAAGCGAATGCGAACATTTGATTATTTATAAACATTTGTCTTATGAGAAGTATAATAAATGCATAATGTTTTGTTTCACACAACAATTTAATGTGTGCAATATTTAGATTATTTTTACCACGCACCATTTTGGATTTTATGGCGCCTTTTGGATATTTTCTTCTCTTTTTTTTTCTTCTTTTTTATCTAAAGAACTATATAGAAAACGCTTTAAATGGTTCGGTCAACGACATAATTGTTAATGCTTGAAACGACGTTCAATAAAATCTTACTTTGATCTCGGACTGCCTCTCGCTTGTCAGAAATCCTGCGTTTGTAGCTACGGGTTTTAAAGTATCAGCATACACTCTGACAGGCATTAACTTCAATATCTGATAAATAATGATAAATGTTAACAAGAGAAGCATTGATGCAAAGCATCAAAGGCGACGCCAAAATATATTTGATCAATATTTGCACCTAAATACATGTACTTAACAGAATATGTGAACTTTATATCAGTACCTTTACATGTGACCTGGAGGCAAGGACCTTGTTTAAGTTAAAACTTGAATAGGCTCTGTCTTAGCTAGTCAATTTAACCAATCCCTAAAATCATCACGCAAAAAGAGAAAATTTCTTCAGATTTATTTTTCCGGATACAAGGATACCTGAATCATCAGAATATAAGAAAAGCTTATTGCATAGGGTACAAGACCTGTCATTGACATATATTAGACATAAAAGAGGACCTAAAATGAACCCCTTGGAGACACATTAGATACTCGTAGTAGTAGTAGATTGAGTACCAGCCATATTCACCAGTTGCTGTCTATGAGAGATAAGACTTGAACCATGTAAAAATGTCATTATCTGTGGCAGATGTTTGAAGTTTCATGTGCAGTATAGTGTTAACTGATCAACTGTATCAAATGCCTTTTGTAGATCTAAAAGTTCCATGCATACAATACTGCCTTTGTCCATTTCAAATTTAATACAATCTGTTAAATTAATCAAACACGTGTCAGTTGAAAAAAACACTTCTAAATTTACCCTGACTGAAACTGCCTGACCATGACTCGAACCCATAACTGTCCAGAAGACCAACTGAGGTATCCGGCCGGCTACACAGTATCTTTTTAATAATGATCAGTTCTTAACCATAACATAACAGGATGAGAAAACTGAACAGCAGCTTGACCAGAGCTCGAACCTATGACCCACAGAATTATGTACCGCGGCTGTAGCGATTGAGCTATCTGGCCGCTTACACTTTTTCTAACCTAAATGGTGAACAGTTTAAAACCGTGACAGATACTTTTAGATATTTTAATTAACTGGTAGATTAATTCTTAATAAATACAAATAAGAAAAAGAAAAACTTACATAGTCATTGTCTTAATTAAAATAACAATTTATATATTGTATAAGTATTTTTTAAAAAAACAGGGCATTTATTGGTTGTGCCATATCAGGTCAATTTAAAAGTGAACTTAACGGTACTAATACATGTACAATATCTAATTCTTTGTACAGATAAAAAAAAACTAACCTTTTTCTAGATAAGAAATTTTATGGAGGCTGATTTGTGCCATGTTGTATTTTGCGTAAGGGGGGGGGGGGGGGGCACCGAGCGAAAACTTGTAAATACAACAAACAAACCACTTTCTGGTAAATTTATGTTTTCATCTGGTGCCAGGTTACATTTCGTACTTTTTCAATTTTCATGTGGCACAAATCACCCACTATTAAATTTAGTGTACTCTATGTACTAAGTCTGTAGTCGAGTTGTCCCCCTATTACAAAACGATAAGACAGGAGCTGTCCTTTTCAAACTAAGCACATGTTAGTAAAATTTAAATAACAATTCAGAATATGATATTTTTGAGACTTTATAAATTATATTAATGCAAGTCTCATCGCTTTAAAATAAAGTCATAACTGTAACTCTTTAAATGCAGAAATATTATACGTCTAATCATATCCATATACTAAAATATACATGTATGCACATCACAATAATTATTTCCAGTTTCTGTTAAATAAATATGAAATCCTATTAACATTCGTACTTGGATGGAATTCAAAATCTAGTAGAAAGAAACCTATAATGTATAGCAGGGTTCCCGCTGTCTCTCGCCAATGGCGCCAAATGCGACAAAATATTAATTCTGGCGCATAATATCTTCAATTGGCGAATTTTACTGGCGCCAACGTAAGATAAAAGCATCCGACAACTAGTACACTTAAATATCATAAGCGGCCGCGTCAATTACATAAGCGGCCCTAATGTGAAAGGTCATGCGCGATTAGTTTGTTTATCAAACTGTATAATCAATTATGTCATCAATTGTGTGACACTTCGGTAAAAGTGTCAATGTGTTAATTGGAACAATTTACGTCTTTAATCCTCTGACTTGGAGCACTGATAATTACACACGTGGTCAAATGGTGTTAGTAGCGAATCAGAGAAATGAAAGATCGTCAATGATGTTGACAAACATTAAACTTTAGGTAAGTTGGCTCGTCAACTGATTTAAATAATTACAGTTTGAAATATAAAATCGGATGACAATTAAAAGAATGATTTCACAATGATTATTCTAAAGCCACCGTTTACTGCAGCGTTAATATTTTCTTATCTGAATGTAAAATGCTGAAATGCCTAATCACATGCAAAACCTATTAAAATAAACAATATTCTTCATTGTTAAAAAGTACTTAGTATCTATTTCATTTTTGTTCTTATTGATTTTTAGATGAAGTCAATTTACAGTAATGTTTTGTTTTTTTTAATTTTGTATCTGTAGATCACCAGAATGTCAGGAAGAAGCTGGAAAGATCATGGCTCAGTCCAGTCAGTGAGAATGACTAAGTGATAAGAACTGTTATAGGCAAAACTGTGGAAAACAGGACCTCCAAACCTCACTTATAACTTAAAATGATGTTTTTGATTACATTTATAATGTCACAATTGTATTTATTCAAATGGAATTTGAAAACCACATAATACTATGTCTATATTTTAGATAATAAACATGTGCAGCTGTAATAAAATGTAAAATTATAAATATGTGTTTTTAATTTTAATGATATATAACTGCTAAAGATAGGCATGTTTCCCTTGCAGAATTACTGGCTCCATATTGGCTCCAACTTTGGAGCCATTGGCTCCAACTTTTTCTGATTGGCGAATTTGGTGGCGCAAACTAATTTTGACCCAGAGGGAACCCTGTATAGTATAAAAGTAATAAAAAATCTCAAATAGTCTACATCATATAATAAAGATTGAGTTGTGTCTCTTTACTATATAACAAATATCAAGTGTTTAAAATTAATAACTTCAGGATGTTATCATTTTTCTGTTGCTATATATGGACATAAGTACCTATATGCATAGCTTTAATTTTCTACCTTTCATTTTTACCAAACGTTCTTCTATTAACACTTTTGATACAAACAAATAGAAAATAATAAGTAGTTTCACATATTGATTAGATGATTCCTGTAGCAGAATACCTGTAGGTATGTACTAACTGAACAAACTAGAAAAAAATCCAGTCTTAGGTATATAAAGCCAGTCAAAAAAAATATTCTATCAATATTCACTCTTCAGTGTCTCTGTTCTTTCAAGATGAATGTACAATAGGTAAATTTTCTCATTATTCAATTTAACAAAAGGCAAAACCATAATAAGAAAGTTTCATAGCCTGTAAAGCACACTGCCAATAACCATAATGTTTATAAATAGACAACGAAAATGTAATACCTAAGATTAACAGAAAAGAACAAACAATTTAGTAAGCATGAGTTACTTCCCCGTAAATGGGAGAAAACCTGAAACCCTAAAGAACATCTTAAACAAGCAAAATTATAAAATTTTGTAGGCTCAGTTTTATTTAGCTATGGAAAGTAATGGTAAAAAGAATTCATAAAAAGTTAAAAGGACATGTGACAGCGGTAAAAATTACATTGCAGAATATCGGATAGCTTTCAACATTCGGATACTTGTACACTTTTTAAAAACAATCATTCTGTGCACTAGATAAATGTAATATGGATAAAATCAATATGATTATCGTTTTCAACAGTTCCATTGCTAATCCTTATACTCATTTGCAGGTTAATGTTCTTCTTGTAGGAAAATTCTAAAAATATATAAAGCTTACAAATATCTCGGGCCTCACAGACACCTTAAACTGCTGATGAAAAAGATTTGGCAAAACAGTTGTAGAACGAAACAATAAACAGTGCATAATTAACAAAAATGGTTAAACAGTAAAAACTTTAAAATAAAAAAAAACTTAATCTGAGTAAAATTACAAAAAAATGAAAAAGAATGAAAGTGACATCAATGTATAAACCACAAATGTATACTGAACCCGGCTTTTAGTATTCGGGACAAGCTTTTAACTGAGCCTGCATTTTCATGAAAAAATATGCACATGCTTTTTACACAAAGTTATCAAATACAAATATAACAAAGTATTTGTTTACTTGATTTTTACGAAATTGTTGTTTTTTGACATTTTTAATTTTTTTAATTAACATTTTACTCCATGAGCATATTGCGAAAAATGGCCGTTTCATATGAACTTGTTACAGGAGGCTTTTCAATGAAAACGGCCATTTTTCGCAATATGCTCATGGAGTAAAATGTTAATTAAAAAAATTAAAAATGTCAAAAAACAACAATTTTTCACAAAATTTCGGTGTAAGGGCATGTGTTTACATGAAAAATCTAGTTTTTGTGTAATTCCAAGGGTTTTTTTATCTTTTTTTTTAATTAAAAAAATAAAAAATGTCAAAAAAACAACAATTTTTCATCAAATTTCGGTGTAAGGGCATGAACATGGAAAATCTAGTTTTTGTGTAATTCCAAGGTTTTTCATCATTTTTTGTTAACCTTTTCCCTTATATAAGCGTGTTTCGACGACTTCCCCCCCCCCCCTTTGAGGCCTCAAACAGTGAAAAAATGCCCTATTTAGGCCCCAAACACTGTTCTTCGTTTGAGAAATGTTGTTAAAAAAGTGACCACTTTTTCGGCGCCGTCCCCCATCCAAATATTACATCAGGGGGTTGCCAGAAGGGGGATGTGCCCCCTTTTGTTTGGGGTGTTTGAAAGGGGGGGCGGATTTCCCCTCATCGCCAAGAAAATTTTGGCCATGTGACAGGCTAAAAGTGGCCTCAGGTCGATCTTAGGGTAACTAGTAACCGACGCTGAAAAGCCTTTTACTCTATCTCAATTCATTGAGAAGTTGCAGCACTTTGAAATCAGTTTTGATGAAAAAAAAACAATGCAAAATAGTGTTTTTTGGCAATTTTGAGACGTCCCCCCGTTGCCATGGTAACAGGAAATTTACCATTGAGCATGCTGTTACAGAGGCTATGGTGTAGTCAACATTTGTGCCTAGTTTCATTAGTATTGAAGCATTTTTCATAGTTTCATAGCAGTTTGAACTTGTTTCAGGAGGCTTTTCAATGAAAACGGCCATTTTTCGCAATATGCTCATGGGGTAAAAGGTTAATTAACTTACTTGAACCGAACCTGATATGCCTTTGTCTCAATTGACGACCAGGCTTTTGGTAGCTAAATCTCTGTACTTTTATATCACCGATAGGTATTTCCTTCCTTAGAAAGGGCTAACATAATTTTCATAGCAATTAAATAATGATTTAGAGTGTTTTGGATGCTTATCACATATAGAAATTGGCATGTGATTTAAATTTTTTAGTTATAAAAGTAGCAAAATGTAAACAAAGTTATATTTTGACTTTTATGCAAAGTACTCAATAACTATAAGTGCACTATTTTCCGAAAAACAATAGAAGCAAAAGATGGTTCAGGTTATTGTCAAATGAGTAACCATTTGGAATTTATCACAGATCGCCAAAAATAAAAGGTTCCGAGAAATAAAAAATAAATGCATTTATGAGGTATTATGGGTCTTTAAAATGGATTGTTGGGCAAATCTATGACACACATTTAACGTGTTTACACAAAAATGACTCATCAAAATGTTATCATAGATGATAACAAACTGATAGTAGATATTATCTACGGTATCAACATAATAAAATGTCAAGGTTTCAAAAGTGACTATGTAACAGCGTCAAAGCTTAAACCTCAAACTTTTAGGTAAATGAAGTACAATCAATGTCCAATCATTTTATAAACCTTTTATATTTTCATATAATATTGGACAAACCACATACCTTCTTATCAAAACGCCTTTTAATTTTTGAAAGTGTCTGTCGTAAAGCGGCGTTTCGTCTAGAGCCGGTGTATCTCAGTATGTACGTTGAAGGTGTAAGCTACAAATAAGACCTTTTTTATAAATGATAAATATCGTGTACATTGCTTATGGTCATATTTGAGAGGAGTTTATGAGTGAAAGAATATAGAAATATCAGTACAAGAATAGTACTTTATTAAAAGCAATATTAGCACTGTAAGCACATCTCTCTTACTTTACTCTCAAAATTTATTTGTACAATAACATTATATGGTTATTATTTCATTCATAAAATGTACATGTCAATTATGTTCAATTATATCAGTACAGTATCTTCATATAAATAAACCGGACATTGCTAATGAAAATGAAAAGTAAAAAAGAATGATTTCAACGATACGATCATGACCTTGTTGGAAAACATATTAAGTTGACAAAATAAATAGACAAACAGAATACATTTTAAGAAAGTTAGTAAAATTAAATAGAAAAATTGCTACACTTCCGGGTTTCATACATTGCACTTCGTAACCTTTTTCGAGCTATAAACATCTTGTATTAAAAGTCACAAAGTAGCAGAATATACAAACGACGAAAGTCACAAAAAAATAAATTTTCAGAGAACAATTTTATATCTATGTTATAATTATAAGTGACCTGATTGTGCTGCGTCACGTTCAATGAAAATAAATGGCTAAACAAGTCGTTATTATCTCGATGATTTTTTACTTTAAGCACAAGGTTCACGTCGGACTTCAAACTGATATCTCCAACACTAACATCAGCAAATATAAGTGTAATTAAGGAATAAATCACGGTCCAGCTCAATACCTCCATTTTTATTGTTTTTCCTTTTATGACTGAGTTAAAAATATATCTTACGTATATTTTGGAAAACCCACCCGTATGTTTGTATAAGATAAGCAGTTAAAATATCGTCCCTATCCGTGTCGCATTTAAAATAGCTTAAATTGGCGGTTTTTTTAATAAGATTAATTGACAATGAATGAGGAAGTGAAATGATTTTTTTTTCAAAACCGAACATAACATATTAAGTAAACATGGAACAATAAATGAACATGGAATGCTAATGGCGTCGCCGGTGGCGTCGGCGTTCGCGTCCGGATTAAAGTTTTGGTGTAGTAAAATATTTTTCACTATTACTTTGTCTTTTCTTAACCCTTTCACTGCCATAGGGACGTCTTAAGCCGTCCCTGTTATTTTCGGCGTATGGACGGCTTTAGCCGTTTCTTTAGTAATAATAGTAATAATGATAAACTAATAATAAAAATAATAATAAATATAAAGAAAATTATACCATCGACAATAATTATTATTATACTAACAGATTTGGAAACATATATAATTTTTATAATACATATAACAAATAATAATAATTATATTAATTAATAATATAGTAATTTCTTAGAAAATCCTCTGGCAAATAGGTGAACAATAAAACAATAACCCTCTGGCAGCGAAAGGGTTAAGGTATCAACTTTTAACTTCAAATATACGTTCCTTATCATCAACCACATCTTATGTAATAAGTTTCATAACTCTAGTGCCAATATTTACAGATTTATCTCCCTTTGAACTTAGAATTTTCATTAAAAATATTATTTTTTACTGTTTCTTCTTTATTGCTCAAGGGATCAATTTCATACTTTAAATATATGAACCTTATCATCATCAACACATTATGTGACAAAGTTCATAACTCTAGCACTAATATTGTAAAAATTATCTCCCCATAAACTAGAAAAATGTTATTTTTTACTATAACTTTTTTAGTTTTAAAGATATCTACCTCAAACTTCAAATACTTATTCCTTATCATCAATTACATTTTACTCTTGAAGAAATATTTACAGATTTATCTCTCTTTGAACTTAGGATTTTCTTTACAAAATATTATAACTTCTTTACTTTTTGAAGTATCTTCTTCAAACTTCATATATATATATCTTATCATTACATACATGTTGTGTGTCAAGGTTCATAACTCTAGCGTGACTATTTCTAGAATTATTCCCCTTGATCTTGGAATTTATGTTAACAATGTTATACATAATTAATTTTTCTTTCATAGTTCTGTCTTCCTTACTGCGTCCAATATTTTATTAGTCGAGCTTCGCTGTCTCCTGTGACAGCTCTTGTTATGTATGACTATCGTTTCGTGATAATTCTATATAATCTCAGTTTCAAAAGGTTTATTTCTGCGCATATTTTAGAACAAATCGCCTGTCTAATAAAAATAGCATGACACGTGGAGTTCTCCCGGACGGTTTGCTTGATCTGGGGTCTTGTTTTTTATATTTCTGAAAAGAAGAAACTCCAAACTGATACGAAAACGAAGTCGCAATGGAAACAGACAAATTGTACTTAAACGGTTGGATCGAGAAAAAAATGGTGCGGTTTTTTTTTACTTTAATACAGAAAAAACAAATCGCCGGTCCAAAAAACGACCATGAAACTTGGCTTTGTATAAAGCTCTATCAAGATTGTTCAAAGAATGCCATTCCATGCTAAACTCTGGTTGCTATGGCAACTGAAAGAAAAAACTTAAAAGTTCTTAAACTTCAAAATGGAAACGGCTAGAGCTTTGATATTTCTCACAAGGCATTAGCTTGTTAGTTCCTACAAAGTATATTCAAATTGTGGTCTAAAGTTGAAAATTGGTCTCTGTTTTGGGAGTTAAAGGTTTTTTTTTTTATTGCAAGGTTATATAGACTTTCTTTGTAGGGATAAATTGAGATAGTGTATCTTGTATTTTTCGTCTCAACAGACATTGTTATAAAGATTTTTCTGTTAAAGCATAGGAAGGATGAAAAGTTTGTTGAATGTGAATGTTTATTCAAATCAGATTCAATCAGAATAGCACTAATTTGTGAGCTACAGTGATGTTGATTTCCCCATTCAATAATGGATTCTTCCATTAATTTCGTAACATCGTCAGAAAGGAAGACTGCTTCATTTCCGACATACAATGTAAAATATTTCGGTTCTTGACAATGACTTGCACATTTTATTGTGTAAGATATTGCACAAAGAAACGAAAGTGAACAAAAAATTGTTGTTTTTTCACAAAAATTAGTTGATTAAGATAACAGTTTAATTTACAGTACGGATATTACTTTTTGTATCCTTCCGGTTTGCGGGAAAAATCATATTCTACACAGCTCCTACTGCTGAACGAATTATGTCAAAATATTTAATTCTGAGAACAAACATACGATTCAAATCATTAAATAATGTATACCAATCAGTCCATTTAAAAAATTTTCCTCAGAAAACATCTGTATCAATCTGACCTCGAGTTGAGATTATAAATTATACTAAACCGGAAGTATATGACAAAACGTCCGCCAATGAAGTAAATTGAGAAAGTTTGTAACGAAAACTCGTATTTCATAACAAAGAAGTGAAGATGAATACAATTATCGGTGTGCTTCGTTGAAACAGGTATTTTGTTAACTATTTGTGAAGTATTAAGGCATGACATTCAGTATTTATGTAAATATCACCTCTGGACGTCCCGTGTTATAATTTATAAAATTATGCATGTACACATGTGTTATTGACCTCAATAAATGTAAGTGAAAATGGAACAATAATTACGGTAATTATCCATGGTGCTAGCAATACTTAATTATCTTTATCATATTGTTAACTAAGCTAGAAAATTGCGTAATGTTAAAATAACTTAACCTCATAATATAATCAATTTAAACTTGAAAATCTTCTCAAAATGACTTCCAAAACAGTAATTTTTGAATTCATTTTTGAAACATGAAAATGGTTCATGTAGAGAAATAAGAGAAGAAAAAAACTGAATTGACTCATGAAAATTTTGGTCAAACAGTCTGCCACGTGAAATTCGGACCTTCCTGAGATCCCTGCTGTTTGTTGTTGTTGTTTTTTTTTTGTTTTGTTTTTTTTTTAGAAAGGGTGTTCTAATATGATAAACCACAGATGCTTGGGTCAACATGATACCCCTGAGTAAATACTATCAAAATATTTTAATATTTAAACACTAATGGGATATCTGTTACAACTATAATCTGGTTTTCGAAAAAGAAATTACATATATGAAAAAAAATACTGTTTACCATCATGTATTGAGACTTGATTCCGGGCAGGCAGGTTAGGTCATTTTTCGTAACAGTTTTCTCAGCAACTACTTATCAGAGCCTCATGATATTTAGTATGCAGCATTAACACATTGTCCTATTCCATGGGATTCGATTTTAGGTCTGTCGCTCTTTATGTTTACTGACTTAGTTAAATTCATAATAATGGTCAATGGTTCGAATTTTTCATAACAATTTTCTCATTAGTTAAATTCATAATAATGGCCAATGGTACAAATTTTTCGTAACAATTTTCTCAGCAACTACTTATTGCAGCCTCTTGATGTTTGGTATACAGCATTGATATGATTTCCGGTATGTGGCTCATCCACTGTCAGTTTTCTGACCTTTAAAAAATTTTCGGCATTAATTGTAAATGGAAGGAAATTTCCATAACAGTTTTCGTAGCAACTACATACATATCACAGCCTCTTGATATTTGGTATTGTGACTGCAAAGTTCAGGTCTATGGCTTATCCACTTCCTGTTTTTCGACTTAGTTAAATGATCGATATTAATGGTCAATGGTAGGAAATTTTTGTAACATCACAGCCTCATGAGTTATGTTATTTGGTATACAAATGCAACCCGGCCTTCTTTGTCTTTGACCCATTTTTATTGAAGTATTATCCAAATTTGTACTTTGTCTTGTTAATTTTGATGTCATTGTTAAAATTTGCATGATGTAAACACGCTACAAGGAGTTTATTTTTTAGCAACCTGTACTTTAAAGAAAAGAAAAAAAGAGGTATTTCTATACACTTGTTAGCATTCTTGTTGCTGTCGGCCAAAAAAACATTACATTTGACACTAACCTTTAAATGACATTAAAGAATTTTATAAACCTGTTGCTTGTTTTTAAAAAGAAAATTACTTTATAAGATCTATTCCTTAAGGTGAGCGATATAAGGCAATCATGGCCCTCTTGTTTGAACCTGCGATTTGTTCCTTCTGTATATAAAGTGTATAAATGTTCGTAAAAAACACCATATTAGGAGCCAAACATTAAAGCACCATTTGCGACTTCATTTTTTTATCAATTTGGAAGGACTTCTGTACAGAAATATAAGACACAAGCTCTTGAACAAGTGAAACATCCGATAGAACTGGTATGGCCCTTTCTTGAACCTGAGATTTGTTCTTTCTGTATATTTACTTAAAAAACACAATCCGCTAAACAACCATTGATGTGATTATTTGTGGATTCGTTTTTGAATTTAGATGGAGAGTCTTCTTTTCAGAAATATAAGAAACAATTCTCTAGACCAAGCAAACGTCCGGGAGAACTCCACGTGGCATCGTCTTTTTATTAGACAGCCGATTTGCAAGTAACTTTATTGAGACATAAACCTCTGAATTATAGAGAATGATCACGAAACGGTAAACATACATCGTAATAAAAACAATTTGGTAAAACAACCGCTTAAGTGCACGTTTTTACAAGAGTTTACATAATACCCAGTTAGCCATTGTAAAGTGAACCTAAAGAAAAGTTGAAATAATGATCTATCAAATAGGAAGTAAGAAGGTTCATCTTCACAGCAATACAAAGCTCAACGCCTTAAACCAAACAAAACGTCCCAGCGTTTTCTGCATGACATGTTCATTTTTTTAGATAGGCGATTTATTCTTCCTGTACATAAAGTGCAAACATTTTCGTAACAAACACACTTTTTTGAATCCGACCTAAAAAAACATAATTTGTCTGATTCCGTTGCAAATTCGTGATTTATCAATTTAGAGGGTCTTCTTTAGAGACATTTCGGACCTAAGCAAAAAGTCCGAATGAACGTCCTGAAGAATTGTCGTGTTTTGAACCGGTGATTTGTTCT